CTTCGTCGCCATTTTTGCGACAAGATCCAAGACTGCTCAGGCCGATGTTTTTTCAGACCAGCATTAACAACATGACAGAAGGCGGAGTGCCACAACCTACGACCAGTCAAGCGAGCGCAGCACCCCTTGGCCATGGGGGCCCAGCAAATGGAGAATCCCCTAGTGGCGCAAGCACAGCGACGATCCACCGGTCGCAGGAGAATGGAGATCAATCTGACTCGATGAACTAAACAACCAGAACTTTGCTTTCGCTCACTTAGACAACGCACCAGATTTGTTTTGTGTTTCTTTCCCCTCTTCATGGTATGTGGATCGCTCCATCTCTTTGACGGGACGTTACTAATGGTTGGCAGAATTAGATTATGCGTGCTTGCACACGGACGGTATGGCTAGACGGGACAGAGCGTATCAAGGAGTTTTGTGTTTGCATTATCCTACGAGCCGCTGTTTGCGGCAATGACATTAACGGCAAGAACCAAGTATACCTATACCACAGAGGGCACAGATAGGACCGGGAGGCTGCGGCAATTGATCACTCACATTAACATTCATGAGCTTTGGTTTTATGTACGACCTTTGATAGTAGTTTGAGCACCCTTAGTGGTCGCAATTTATTGCACCGCGAACACTCGTCGGACACTTGCCTGAACCATTAGAACGGAGAATATAATTTATACCTCAACTTCTAAGATCCTTTCAGAGATAAGCCCTGTATTCAAATTACAAAGGGTATATTAATTTTAATGTTAAGAAATGAATATAACTCTGGTGAGCCATTCCAACTTCGACTAGACTCGTACAATTTGAACGCTACTGCATCTCGCTATCTTGACAACATTGCTAGACCTTCTCGTGACTTGTTCGCGCACTCGCATCAGAGTTGGGATGTGTGCTATCAGCCATGTGACGAGTCATCTCAACATAGTCATATGCAAACTCGCCCAACTGTCCATCATCCGTACCAAGCTCTTCCTCCTCGGGAGAGACGCGCAAAGACAGACCGGGGATGAGGTTAAGAATGAAGAGCAGAAGGCAGGTCAGTACAAAGGACCAGGCGAAGCAGGCCAGAGTGCCGGCAATCTGGTAGCCCAATTGGACCCAGTTGCTGTCAACCCAGCCGATAGGGTCGTACTCTGCACCATCAAGAGAGGCGATGGATTTACTGCAGTGAGTTAGCTGTGTTACTTAAAAGGAATGGGAAAACATACGTTCCAAAGATACCGGTGAGGATGTTACCAACCATACCACCAACTCCGTGGATAGCAAAGATATCAAGACTGTCGTCAATGTTGATGAGGAACTTGAGTTTGGTCGCAAAGTTGCACAGGACACCACCACAAATTCCGATAATGACCGCACCCCAAGGCTTGACAAAGCCAGCAGCGGGAGTGATGGCGACAAGACCAGAGATAGCACCGGAGCAGAAACCAATGGTGCTCCACTTCTTCTCAAGACGATAATCGAGTAGGATCCAGGCAATGGCACCGCATGAGGCAGCCAGGTTGGTCACATAGCATGCCATGATAGCGCGGATGTTCATAGCAAGAGCTGAACCACCATTGAAGCCAAACCAACCGATCCAGAGGAATACCGTTCCGAGAACAACATGAGTGACGTTGTGAGGGCGGTAGGGAAGACCATTGTTGCGAGAGTAGCCAGTACGCTTGCCGAGCATGAGGGAGTACGCAAGGGCGCATGTTCCTGAAGCGACGTGAACGGGGCCGCCACCGGCAAAGTCATAGCTGGGAAGGTTGAAGAGCCAGCCGTTGGCGTTCCAGGTCCAGTATGCGATGGGGTCGTAGACGATAGTGGACCAGAGGAACATGAAGACGATGGCCGGGAGGATACGACCTCTGTCTGCTACAGCACCAATAGCAAGGGCAGGTCTATCAATGTTAGTATGGTGATTAGAGGTGATCAGCGAGAGACTCACGTAATAGCAGCAAACATGCCCTGGTAAAGACAAAAGAGAATATCAGGGAGAGCATCAGAGCCATTGGGCTGTGCGAGCGTCTCCATGAGACCGAACTGGGTGAGATCGCCCAAGAAGGCATTTCCAGTTCGTGAAAAGGTCAAGGAATAACCCCAGAAGAACCATTGGAAGCTGATGACAGCAACCGAGATCATGGACAACAGGATCAAAGTCAGGGCCGACTTGCGACGAGCGAGACCACTGTAGAAGAAACCCACGCCGGGAATCATGAGAAGAACGAGCACGGCGCAGGTAACCAGGAAGACCAAGTGGCCCGTCTATTCACTATTAGCCAGGGACATGCAGAGGCTCTAGCAGCACATACCTCATAGAAGATATTGAGGTCAGATACGCCAGACGAGTAGCCATCGTCGGCAGAGTCGTCGGTGCCATTGTAAGGAGTCGCCATTGTGACAACACTATGCGGTTATGAGACGCAAGCTCTTGATCCAAACCTGATGCAAGTCCAGCTTAACTTTGACAGCTAGAAAGAGTGGGATGATGGAGGTCCAGGGACTCGGGTCAGGAAGGCTTGATACTTATTTAAAGCAAAAAGACCCGACGCAGCTCGCGACGAGCCAAGACAGAGTGTCTATGGCGACCAGGGGAGGGTATGGTAGATAGTGTGGGGGATGCTTGATAAGACGCCCGCAAGTTAAGCAACAACGGGAAGGCCACTCCGTTGGATTGAGCCGAAAGAGCCACATGCTCGGGTTGATGGGATCTAAGGTATATCCATATATGGAACAAGGCGATGCCAATAAGTTCAAAGAGTCAGGTGCCAAGAAGAGCTGGTAGATGATCCTCCACAGCCCTAAACTCATCCCATGATAAGCTTGAACACAAAACTCGTTGTGACAAAGCGTTGAAATTGAGTTGACAGGCTCATTGTGTCACAGAGATGAGGCCTTGGTCGTGTTAGCGGCCCCCCTGTTAGTATGTTCCTGAGTCTGGCACACGCATGTCGTTGCTTATCACGCCAGCATTCCGATTCGGTTGTATTAGGATGGACGCCACGCCCAGGTTTAAACAGCCGGCACTGATAAGCTCAGATATGCCTATAGGGCGCGTCTGGTAGTAGTCTTGACTTGGCAGTTGGTCCGCGATGAATATCTTTTCTTGGCTTTGGGTGGTGCAGGCATTCGGGGGTTTGATGAGTCGGTATGCATTGTATTCGGAAGAAAAGAGAGGAAACGCGGACTAAGACTAGGTATGTTGTACCCCTCTCTGACTGAGATGAGGAATCGAAGGAATATGCGGCCGCAGATATTGTTATAACATTGAACTTGGCATTCTGATTCGCTGCTGTTTAGTATATTTTAGGCTGGAGATCCTCCAGAGAGGCTTCGATTCTGACACTGCCTGGATGAGCTATGAGACCAAATTTAGATGGCGAAAAAGCTCCGAAGAGGCACTCATGTCCGAACACCCTCTTCTGGGATATGGACTGAGCTTTGAGCTTCCCCAGACCTGACGGAGTGCATATCCGACGCATGTCCGTGTCGTTTATACTTCTTATCTGACTTGACCTGAGTGTTGTCCAATTCCAGTAGGAGATGTTGATTGAGATTCAATAGAAGGTATATGATTGGATAGTTCTTATCTCTTGGCAGGTTTGGTGGAGTGCTTAGCGTAGAGACCCTGAGCCCAGGGAATGTGATCCTTGTCCTTGTATGTCGTGTCGCTCGGCCGATACTTGATACAGGTAGCGAGACACCTTCATGTGCAAGTAGACGTGTGTAAATTGTTGTTATGGCTAGTCTGGAGTTCTCATAGTGCTTATTGCAAAACACCAAGCTTTGCTAAATATCTGACTGTGTTGCCTCGGGCTCTGGGAATCAAGACCTCACGTTGTGTGGTGGTACTTAGTGATATCGGTTCCTGAGTGTCTGATAGTAAAGATACAGAGACGATCGCATGGGACAGCATTTGTCGAGATGCCTGGAAGATTTGACATGATTGACAGCTCTACCCCGGATTTACAGATGTTTACTATGCTTTTGCGCCCGCAACGCCCTTGATAAAACCTTTGTTGCGCGCGTCAGCATGCGGACTACCCGCTCTTTGGGACGCCCTGAATGATAGACGTTCATGTATATAAGGTTGACCTGCGTCTCGTGGCATGTCCAACATTTCTCGAAGCTTGGGCTTATTCCAATGTCGAGGAATCTCTGATTTTCTTCACTCTCTTCAAGGATCGACCCTCGTTTCGCTTCGCTAGTCAATCGCAATGTACACGATAGCTTGACCGGCCGCTTTGACAACAGCCCTCCCAAACCAACACACGATTACCGGATCGATTCGAGAGATACCAAAAGCACGTCGGCACTTGATCACTCGTTATTTCGACACCTCCGCATGCCTTGTCGGATACCAAGGCGCCGACTGTACTAGCTTTTGATCAATATTTCAGCTCCGCCCCAGGTTGTCATACCCAAAGTACATCATGAGTGGGATAATTGAACCTCCATAATGATATGACCAGAGTTCATTGGACTGAAGGGATTATGCAAAATTGGTTCCAACTTGGCATAGATAAGGAAGCGAAAGAGGGAGTGTTGGCTGTGACCTAGTTCATCCGTGGCGTGCTTAGCGTGAGATAAGGAACTGGGCATACCACAAGGTAGGACAAGCAGATAATGCAGTGCGTAGAATGCATTCTCAGATGTATCGCACTCATGATTGAACCCGACTGCTGGACAATTTGAAGATGCATGTGTGGTCACAGGGAAATATGCGTAGTGGTGGCGTGTCTTGTTTGGGTATCTTTTAGACTGTGATTCTTTCGATTGCTCAAGTAGTCTCCATGTTTACTGAGCAGCTGTGAGCTTGAAGCTCCAAGCGAATATGCGCGTCTGCGTTTTGAACTTCAATATGAAGTAAGACTGACGTTGAGCTATTCCTTGAAATGGACAGTAATCCAAATATGGCGGTTACTGCAATTCTTTGAGTCAATCCGTCATAATATTGCAGTAGCGTTGCAGCGTCGTATCGCTTTGCCGTTGGAAACAACCTAGGAGGTTAACCATCATCGCTCAAGCTCGGCCTTCCATTCCTTTTCCACTTGCATGAGCTGTTCGGCGACCATGCGTGGTACTTCATCCTCCTCGAAAGCCCTCCTCTCCTCGTTCGAGATCCGGTCAAGGACATAGTCACTGACAGTGCCTCTGTCTCTTTCTCCATCCGAGGGGCGTCCTATTCCAACAGCTATTCGCACAAACGGTGAGGTAGGATACTTATCCTGTGACAGCTTGTTTTTGACGTCCTTGATGCCGTTGTGCCCCCTGGGACTTCGATCCCAGGCTCTGAGAGAAACAGCACCTTTCTTCGCCTCAAGTTCGTCATGTAAAATGATCAGACTGAGTGATGAAGGGTCTTGTTGCTTGACCATATCGCTCCAAGCACGGGCAACAAAGCGACCAGAGATGTTCATAAGAGTGGGCGATTGAACTAGAGTGTACTTTGGACCTTGGGATACTAGGCATGATTGGCCCCCGAAAGTCTTCTCTTGAAATGAAGGGTTGCGCAGAACGTTGGCGAGACCATTGAGAGCAAAGTGACCAGCTGAATGAAGACTTTGGTATTTCGGCAAAGGATTTCCCAAGCTAACAACTAAGAACCGAGGGTTGAACATTTTGATGAGCCAGTATAGGAGGAAAGTCGAAACCTGTTAATAGGATGAGAAGGATAGGTTGATAAGTAAATGATTGGCCGAATTTGTATTAGATCAAACCAATTTACTTTTGTTCCTTTGCCGTATAATATAACGCGATTCGATATTGAAACGGATCGTCAAACTCTTTCCCAATTGCATTTCGAGATGCAAATCCACGCGTGATCACGTGTATCGAATAAAGAGCTAAACACAGCCTCCATCGCTGACGTCGATCATTTCGATTGGGCTGCTAGGCACTAACAGGTAGTAGTGTGGCTGAGCTCCAGTTTTGTCGTCACTCTTCACTCAACTTCCATGTTTATTACCATCCTCCTCCTGTAATACCACCAGCAATTCAACCATATACCCTCGAGCGCGCATTTGCAAATTACTGCCAAAAAATCACTCAATCAAGACGAGAAAGCTCTTTTTATAAACATAATATTTCAACATGTCGTGGGCGGGTACGAGAGCCATCACCCCGCAATCAGGAGCACAACAGATCAGAACAGAGGGGTCTAACATGAGGCAGGGTTCAAGAAGAATGTCAACCGCGCGACGACGCAGGTTATGATGAAGACGGGTACGCGACTCGTACGAAACGAGGAGACGAAGCTGATTGTGCTATAGGGCACGTGGAAAAGACAAACGATCGCGATTATGAAGTCGAAGAAAGGTCAGTAACACCGAAGCCACTGAAAGACCACGTCTAACGGAAATAGGCGATTCAAGACCATGGAAGCAGCTGCTTTGCGACTACAAAAGGAATCAAAGGGTTATCTCGATTCTCTCCGAGGTACGCTCGTCATCCGCAACACCATATGATCTTCTGTACTGAACCCTGACTTAGCTATGACTGCTTCGCAAATGCGAATTGCCGAAACGATAGATGCATTCTATGGCGACGCAGGCGCGAAAGACGGCGTTAGCAGGAGTTACAAACAGGCAGTCGAAGATCTAGACGCCGAAACCATCAAAGCCCTAGACGGCCCATACCGAACCACTGTCCTCGACCCCATCACACGATTCTGCGCTTATTTCCCCGACGTCAACGAGGCGATCAAAAAGCGTGCGCACAAGCTGCTCGACTATGACGCCCTCCGCGCAAAAGTGAAGAAGCTTGCCGAGAAACCCGACAAGGACGCCACCAAGCTACCACGTACCGAAAAGGAGATGGAGATGGCAAAGGTCGCTTACGAGCAGTTGAACGAGCAGCTAAGCACCGAACTGCCCCAACTTATCGAACTTCGCGTGCCATACCTAGACCCTACTTTCGAAGCTCTCGTCAAGATCCAGCTACGGTTTTGTGCAGAAGCCTATTCGCGTATGGCGCAGGTGCAGCAGTATCTGGATGCCGACACGAGAGATCAGTACGCCGAGGGGCAACTGGACGCCAGAGTGGAACAGGTGTTGCAGGAGATTCGTGAGTTAAGCATCAGCGGTACGGTATAGGCTTTGGTTTGGATTTGCATCTCATCAGGATTGGGGAACGGCGTATGGAACGGTTGGTTGTTGTTTGTAGGCATGTGCTAGTATCATGAAGATTCATGAGAAAATAGGTGCAGAGTCCTTATGGGCTTTCTCAAGTTCTACTGTATATAGGCGGATCAGTTTCTATAATTTTATTATTACGCGCTTTGCTCTTAGGCGAATACTTGCTGTCGTTGACTATTCAACTCCGTAACCTTTTCCTGGGTTCCCAGAAGGCTCTTTTTGAATCATAGAATCAGGAATCTTCCCTGGCGTCCCCACAACAAGACTGGCTTAGTCGGTATTGATATCAGATTCAGATCCCGCAGACTCAGGTTTCTCCTCGGCTGGCAGCTCAACCTCCGGCATATCGACCTTTAAATCCGTGTTCTCGGAGTTTTCAGTCTTCAAGTCTTTGCCCTTTGGATCCTTGGCCTTTGCCACATCTGCTTCTGGCATCTCAATCTTTGACCCCGACTCCTTTGGTTTCATAACCTCTGGTTTCACGGATATCGGATTCTCTGCCTTTTGTTTGCCTTTCCCTTTCGTATCCTCCATCTTCGACTCTTCAGACTCGGGGTTTTCAACTTCAGGTTTTCCATTCATGACGGACGTCACCTAGTGTCCGACATTAAAACCATTCGCCGTCCCAAAGAGATCGCTTATACTCAGTCGTCTGCCCATCGCCTGCATGGCGGGGCCAGCTTCAGGTCCTTGTGTTGTTTCGACAGGACCCGCAGAGCGCGCAATCTTCCAAGCTTCTTGGATAATGGCGGCGTTCATCTCTCTCGTCTCATCCTTGTCGTTGTGGATCCACACTCCTAGGACCTTGTCGCCCTCCTCCCAATCGCCCTCGACCTTCATAATCACGAGCTCGCCAGAAACTTCAGCATGGGACACCCGTGAGAGATCTACAATCACATTATCAAGCCCTCTTCTGTTAAGGACAAACACGCAGGCTCGTGGTTGTTGGGCAGGATCCTCGGAAGACGGACTTTGCGCGCAGACAAACATGGTGCCCTCCACGCCAGACTTCTCCCAACTCTCAGAGGTGCTATTGAATGTGTAGATAACAGCGTTGGCTGCTATGCTGAGGATGGTGTGGATAGAGGGGAGATAGCGCTGGAGCACAGAGAGGTTGAGTTCGGTGTTTGTGCGTGGAGGCGGTGGCGCGTAGTCGGTATGTATAACTGCGGCATCTGATTCGTAGTCTGAAACGGCCGGTATGCGGTTCGAAGGCTGACGGGTGTGTCGCTGCTTTCGTGGTGTTTGTCGACTCATGATGGTGGTTGTGGTGTTTTGAGGTTGGGCACAATTCACTACCTGTGAGACTGGTAGCCAGTCTAGGGAACCTGATCGGTAGGGAAATGTCAAGCTATTTCGTATGTAAGACCTGTCTGAAATGATGATCGAGTGTCGCGTGATCGACGTTGGTTGTGGTATGCAAGATAAAGTCAAAGGCAGGCTGGGTATTGTTGACAGGCACGGTTGCGCATTCTTGAGTGCAGCACCTTGGGCAGGTAGCTTATCGATAAGGCGCAAGATGACGCTGCCGCGGGGCGTTGAGTTCCTAGGACCCTTCCTTAGTACTCTGTACATCACAACTAACCAAGACTACGACAACTCCGACGTCATACGCGAAAGCTGAGGTTTATCCCTTCATAACCCCCGTTTTTGCTTATTTCAACATTCTTTTGGTGCTGCCGCAGTCGAGAATCATCTCTTTGACTCAAGTTTATGGTTAAGCCAGGTTGTTCGAAGTCATGATCTAGAGAACGACAAGTCGACCTCCAAGCGATACCTCGAGCCGACGCCGTGTGTATGACTCGTCTCTCTATTCTAATACTATAGTAACGGCGTCCATGGCAGAAGAAAATGACCAGTCCCCTGGTTCTGAGCTAGGGGATCCTACATCCACGACGCCTCAGTCTCTCGCTAAAGCTGTTCATGCCCGACGATCGGAATTCGTGCGACCGCATAGTTTAAAGGTCAAGATTGGAACATGGAACGTTGCAGCGTGTACGGGGACGGATAAAGACCTTGCGACATGGTTCACATGCGGTGAAGGCTTGGACGAGCAGTTGACAGGCCTCAATCTTTCCAAAAATAGTGCCGTGGAAAAAGATGCAAAAGACAATGGCAGTTCCGAGCCTCTGCACTTGACTTCTGGAGATGCTATCGGTTTGTATGTGCTGGGACTACAGGAAATTGTAGACCTTAACACAACCAAGGATTACATGAACCGTGCTGTTTACACAGACACAAGTGCTATGGATAAATGGAAGGCAGCTTTGGAAGCAGCATTGCCTAAAGGCTACGAACTCATCACGGCTGAGCAAATGACTGGCTTGTTGCTCCTGGTGTATGCTTCCCCTGAAATTGCGCCTACCATCAGCAACGTCAGTACGAAGCAGGTTGGCACGGGTCTCTTGGGATATTTTGGAAACAAGGGAGCCGTTACAACGAGACTGTTACTTGGCGAAACAACGCGCATGGTCTTTGTGAATAGCCACTTGGCTAGTGGTGCTGGCTCTTCATACTTGGAGCGTCGCTGTTGGGACGTTGGCCAAGTTCTCTCGCGAACTCAATTCGACCCAATTGTGCACTCGGGCGTCGAAGAAGACGAGGGAGAGAAGATTGGAGACGAGGATCTTGCATTCTGGTTTGGAGACCTAAACTTTCGGCTGGATGGACTACCCGGAGATGATATAAGACGAATACTCACGTTGCATGCTCGAGGTGAGTATGGCATAAACGAAGACGAGTCGAAACCACTTGGCGAGCAAGGTGTCATTGTCATGAAAGGTTCCGATAGTGATGAAGAGTCATCTTCTAGGCCATCTCTGCATTCAAGGGACGAAAGCTTTGATACCGCCAGCGACCTACCGGACCCTGATGACTTCCCCGAAGACCCCAGTCAAGATCCCACTTCGTTGCAGGCTACAATCGACTCTTTGATTCCCCATGATCAACTGCGGAGGATCATCAAGCAGCGGAAATTATTCCATGATGGCTGGAAAGAAGGACCAATCACTTTTCTTCCGACATACAAATACGATGTTGGCACGGTTGGCCTCTTCGACTCAAGTGAAAAGCAAAGAGCTCCAAGTTGGTGCGACCGAATTTTGTTCAGGACTCGAAAGGACAAGCAGGATTACGAAAATAAGATCAAAGAGGAAGAAGAAGCGAAGAAAAAAGACGAAGAAATGAAGTCTAGGGGACTAGAAGAGGATGAAGACGTGCTCTTTAGTTACGATCCCGACGCTGACGGAGAGGATCCCATGTTGTCCACTGACAACCTCGGATATGATGAATACGATGACAACGATGAGCCAGAGGCAGAAGAGCTCGTGACAAAAGAAGGCTTTCGGGATCGAATCAACCTCGAGATTTACACCTCTCACCAACGCATTGCATCCTCAGACCACAAGCCTATCACTTCAATCTTTACGCTCGACTATGATGCTGTTGTACCAGATCTTAAAGCAAAGATTCATGCAGAGGTGGCAAGAGAACTAGACAGAGCGGAGAATGAGGGCCGCCCAGGCATTACCGTTGTCGTGGAAGGTAGTGAGGGCAATGAAGATAAGATTGTCGACTTCGGAGAGGTTCTACCTCTAGAGAAGCAGGCACGCCATTTGACGGTTGCCAATACAGGGAGTGTCGCAGCGACCTTTTCGTTTGTGACGAAGCCGACAACAGATGAAGGAGATGATGCTATCCCTGAATGGCTGAAGACGTCATTCGTGTCCGCTGACGAAGAAATCCAAGGTTCCCTGGGCACTACTGTCACTTTAAACCCCGGAGAGACGGCTTTGGTCTTGTTGGAACTCCAGGTACAAACTGTCCCTCACATCAGGGCCCTGAACGAAGCCCGTGCCAAGATCGAAGAGGTTCTAGTTCTTCGTGTAGAGGATGGCCGAGATCACTTCATTCCTGTACGCGGGGCCTGGAAGCCCTCTTGTCTAGGTCGCTCTATGGCAGAGCTGATAAGAATCCCAGATGGAGGTATCAGAAAGTTTGTGGAGGACAAGGGCATAAAGGGAGCGATCTCTTACGACTCAGCCGTACAATGTTCAGCGCCGAAGGAGCTCTTCAGGCTTACTGAAGTAGTGCAAACACTTGTGGAGCGTAGTCTCGCAGAGGCGACGATGCTGGAGGATGAGGTGCTACCGAGAGACCCTGGATGGCCTCTTGAGTCTTCAACTTGGAGGGTTGCCGAAGAGGACATGCAAGATGCAAAGGTCAAACTCGTGTCTGCCCTCGATAACGATAGCTCTCTACTTGATGCGCTCCCACTAGAATGGTCTGCATCCTTCAAGTTAGAAGTTGTCTGCTCTATACTCCTTCTCTTCCTCGAATCGCTTACAGATGGTCTCATTCCTACTCATCTTTGGGCCAAGCTCTCTACGTCTTTACCCAACGTAACCTCTGTACCTCCCACTGCCTGGCCCGACACCAAGACCCGGGTTCTCGACATTCTCTCTACAGCACCAAACCACAATATCGCGTTCGTCTTTCTCACAGCCACTCTGTCCCGCGCAGCGTCGGAGCTAACGCCTGTAACAACTGATCCCAAACCCGGTCTTTCCCGTCGTCTAAGCTTTCGCCGAGGAAACGCGCAAGATGAGGACTCAAAGAAGCGGAAGATGAGAGAACACAGATACGCCGAGATAGTTGGGCCATTGGTCTGTCGGATAGACGAAAAGGAAAAGGGCGCAAGGGACAGGGCGAGAACGATAGTAGAAATGTTCATAATGCGTGATGAGGGGAGCTAGAAGCGGCCGGGTCGCAAGATACGAGCTTTGTGGGCAAGTTTTTGAACATGACGTTAGAGATGCGCTGAGAAGGAAATTAATCTGGGGTTTTGTTTTTTGGGTTGAATAGAAGGTATACCGGCATTTTCGATGTGTCAGCAGGGCTGGAGGACAGGATACGACAAAGGGGTTAGAAAAGGTCAGTGCTAGTCTATAACAATGAGAGATCAAAGTCGTGAACAAAGTTTGAAGAGTCAAAGGAAGTGTACAATTGGTGGGTGTATCATGTCTTTGAAGAATTAGCAGGTTCATGCTTTGTATACAAGGCACTAATGAGGAACAAGATACAAGATAGGTACTCTTCACATTCCTTCAGCTTTATGGCTTCTTGGCACCGCTCCCCTTGTTTCTGTTGCTTATTAGTTCTATCAGCCGTCCGTCAATGGTGATGGTATCACTTCTTGGTACTCAGCCATTCCTTCCTTAGGTCGCTGTAACTCTTGTATAGAAGACTCTTACTGTTTTCAACAGCCCTTTCCCATACATGAAATGTCCCTTCTAGACGTCGGTGAGTCACTGCAGTTATATTTTTTACTCGCATGATAGTACCTGCAAACTTGCACTGCTCGTTCTGTTTCCCCATCGCTTTTTTCGGTGGGCCACCGAGTTTCCCTTTTCTTCCATCATCTCCCATTACCTCTTCTCATTTTTCCTTTGTTCAAAAACAAAACAAAAATCATTTTGAAACAGCATTTTCTCTACCTTTTTGACCGTATTCTTTCAGTTACGCGCATAGCCTGGCGCCGCCTCTTCTTGCTTTTGATACGAGACACCGATTCTTAGGAAATCATCTTGGTATTTTCAGGTACCCAGGTGAGAATGCATGAACACATAATACTCCTTGAATATCCTTTAACCTCCTCGCAGGAACAGTCATCATGGGCACTCGCACAGATGTGATGTCGTTCTAGAAACCCAAGGCTCACCACACGGCCAAGCTGCCTGCAGTCTACCGACGCATGGTGCTTTACCAAGCGGAGACTCTGCTCGATAGGCTAATCGATATACGTGATTTTGCCATGGAATATGTAGAGGAAGACGCTCTGTTGCATTATGCTAATGTGCTTCCACTTCCTTCTCCTGACGAGCAGGAGGAAAAAGACCTAGTTGAGTCTCCAGAGGGCAACCCGGTCCCGGACTCGGACGAAAACGAAGAATTTGAAGCTTGCGAAGATCAACTTGCGCAGCAAGAGAATGCACACTTGGAGTTATCTGAGAATATTGCTGCCGTGGACCAACAGGACAGTGGTGCGTTCACTGGTACTACCGATGTCGACATGGAGGACACTGAGCCTATGTGGGATGGCGCTATCCACGGTTATGACTGGCCAAATGTCGAGGAGCCATCTGAGTATCACTCTGCGTCTAGTGATGAAGAGGACGAGATGACTGATAATGCCAAATTCGACCCTTTCGAAGCCTCTCCCAGTACTACTACTCCTGAGTCGAATACATGGCTCACAAACAGTCCTGATGCTCCCCACAGTGTATTCTTTAATACATTTGTCACGTTCCCAATCGCTTGTGCCGGGGATGGCCAAGGAGTCCTTTCACCTGGAGTTGAATACTCCGATCCTCCTCAAGGCCCTGCTTCGGCATGGTTGACTAACAGTCCCGATGCTCCCGAAGGAGTCGCTGAAGCGGAAACCTCTTCCGAGACTTGGCCTGGTGATGGAATTGGATCTCTGCCGGTCGATCACCATCTTTCCATATCACAAGACAGTTTGGATAACGAAGAAGACGTGGGGTCCTTGTCTGATAGCGACAGTTCAGACGAGATCACCTCCCAAGCTATTGATGACCAGATCGAAAAGCTACGACTCGCACCGAGCACTCTTCTACACCCACACGGTTGGTATTGGCCAACACATTTCCTCGACGAAATCGCTACCCAAGTCGAAGAGTACGAAGAATACGTTCAAAAGAAGAATTTTCTCATCAAGAGCATCTCCAAGAACAAGACCCTATCACGAGACGAAACCGACAACATTCTGTGCGAGTTCGTACACGAGAACATCGTGCGCAAACCCGTTGTAAACGCTGTGCAACTCTTTAAGCTGAAGCGTTTTATCGATAATGTCGTGCGATTCGTTCTCGCAACTCAAAGAAACATTGACGCAATCGATGCAGACATGGACGAAGGCCGCCGACGCCATTTCTTGCCGTTGGATTCACCGTTGCGCTTCCGAAGCAAGCGCCTTGGGAGCTCTCTCCGGTTTGTAACCAGCGTCAATGATGCGTGGGAGAGAGGCCAGGATAATTGGGGTATGCCGCCCGTAAAGATAAAGCGCGAGCAAATATAGGCTTGGATGGCAAGACTGGGAGATGGATTCACAGAGCCGGATCTAGGACTATACACGCTTGTCTTTGGTGGGTATTAACGGACACTTGCTATTGGCATCGACATTTCCGAGGAATAGGTTGCGAGACTGAGTCAAATTGGAACATGTAGATAAGAAGTTGCAAATCGGCAACTTGGTCATCGAGATTGGGCTGCGACGTCGAGAGAGCTTGGTGCCGTTGGAACAAAGGGTTTCGCCAATATTTGAGAAGCCAAGAGAGAGGCAGAGGAACCAGGACAACGCGTAGTAGATGGAACAAACGTTAAATGGACCATTCTGTCAAAATTCTCGGGTGAAGTCATGTTGCTGTTGTGGCCTCACGTTCAATAGCGGGCAGTGCTGAATTTTCGATGCTCGTCTTGTCGGCTCGGGCCATTGGCTCAATGCCGATAGCTCCCAAACGAGGGAGTCAGTTCGTCACAAGTCAAGTACTATCTCTAAAAGTTCCTCCATCATTTGTCACGGCTTCGTTGGGAGTTCTCATCGGGTCTTCTCACACTGCCTCGGGATGCGGAATCTTTTCCATCGGAGCATCTTGTAGTTATCGTTACAATATAAATAGAGAAGAGTTCGTCTCGGTCGTCACATAGTCATTCCGCTAGATCTCGTAGCTTTCAGATACAAGAGCGATGAACATTCGGTAGATATCCGTCAACTAGGCGTAGAAATGGGTGTCGGAAAAGGATTATTGGGCACAGGCTCCCGCTGGTAGGTCGGATGGGGGTACCAATTCTTCTCAAACATCTGCGCCACCCAATAGAGTGAATGGTCCCAGTCAAACTTGTCCTGATTACCTATGTATCTGACATCCTCTGGGTCTCTTCCAAGGTCAGGTATGTTCACTGGAAGTAATGGTCAGTTCCCTCTTGAGATTGTAAGTTGGTTCCGTCTACCTTTGCCGTTGTTGGCCTTGAACTGTTTCCATACAGAGAGATGCTGCTTGATACATTCGTCCCAGCGGGTCTGTCTGATGAGATCCAATTGATCCCCCGCAAGGCCTGCGAAATGCTCAGCGTCATCTTCTTTGTTTTTGGGCCATTTGTTGCAGTTGTAGTAATGCCAATGGGTGAGGATGTTATTGCAGCTTTCATGGAGACTTTCGACGAATCCAGGTATCGAGTATCTTGGCTTTATCTGGTCAGTCATCTCAACGCAAACGCATGCCATCATCAATCACCTTAGGTCCAAAATTGTCCCTGGCATGTCGATATCGATCTGCGGTCATGCGACTCGATTCGCGCAACAAGATGAAAACGACGGTGTACATGGTAAACCACCACCGATTTTTATCTTGGCTGAAGAGCCAGTCAACATCCCTGAGCAGCTTTTCCTTATATATTTCGAGGACCCAGTTGTACACAAGGTTATCAAACTGAGCGACTATCATGCGCGGAGCCGATATCTTGCCGTAGAGTGGGTAAGATTTATCTTGGGTCTCAGGCTGCATGCCGAGTGTTTCATCGCCTTGTATGTAGAGGGATCCTACAGTGTGTTCTAGGTGCTGTCAGTTTCTCCGAAGTGATGTCGATAAGGCCAAGGGATAATGACTTACGGATGGCGCACCACATAATAAAAAGGTTTCCAAATACCTCCACCTCTTTCTTATCCTCTTGAGACATCGAGTTTCCCAATCTCATTTCTTTCTGAAATCATTGTCAGTGCTATGAATAGTTTGTCTCACCTGATCACTCTTACAGTGAGTTTCATAAAACGTATCATTGCTAACTGATATGTTCTGCAAACAACAAGCCGACCTTCGTGTCCTGAGGCCAATTCCTCTTGGATTGTTTGTAGTAATGCTGGGAGCGCATTTTCCACGGTATATTGCCTGACATTCTCGGCCGTCTCGTAGATGCTGTTGAGACAATACGTTGCCAACTCCTTCTTCTTGAATGCCATCGTTCCCGAGTGGTTATCGGTCCAGTATCGAGCTGTGACATCGCCGTCTTGGGGGGTGAATTGAACAACGTCCAAGAACATTGGCTTCTTGCAAAAATCTTGGGACACTTGAATCCTCACGATTCTAGGCTTGCTGAGGCGACCTGGAATGTCTCGCATCTCGATGCCCTTCCATCGTCGGGTGAGGTTGAGGCCGCCGCTTCGGTAAAGCACAATTTCGGTGATTCGGAGTCGCAAGCAGGGAACTCGGTGGATCGTCTTCGGAGAGGTCTTGGAAAATCTTTTGCATGTTTTGCATTTCCCTTCGGGATTCCTGGGGTCAGGAAAGCACTGTTTGTTTTGTCAGCATCGCCGTGAAGTAGAACTAGAGGTTGAGAAACGTGGGGAATAGCAGAAAGGCTAACTATAGGCTCGAGGAACAGAAACCAGAACGGTAGATATCTAGTCCAAATCTGTATAACCCAAATAAAATCTTGGCTCTCATGCCACCAGCAGTCAAGTGTTCTGCTATTCCCAGGGAACAACATACTTTGATTTTCTGAAATCGACAACGAACACAAGCTCCAATTTCTCTCGTTTGCCGAACAAGCTCACGTTCCTCGCTTGTCAATCGACGTCTTCCGGATGGGGCCATTGGCGGCGTAAGGGCGTTGCTAGCGTTCACGTCGTGGGTATCTTCATCGGCCTCGCAAAGATCCGACAAATACTCGTCCTCTTCTTCGTCTGTCTGTCCGTCGGACTGATCATCGTCATAGGCTTCGTAGTCGGAGTCTTCATAAAGCGATGCTGCCTCGGAGGATGAGTCCTGATACAAGGCGTCGGTGTCGATGGGAGATGAACAGACATTTTGCTCGGGGGAAGGCGAAGGCGATCCACGGTTTGCATAAGCATCGCTCGCGTACCCTTCGGAACCAGAATCTCCAATGGTCATTGAATCTAGACGTTGAGAAAGAGTGTGAGAATTAGTGGCATCGTTTTGAGAACCTTCAATGCTCTCTGTGTCGGTATCATACAGGTCATTTACTGGTTCACTCCTCTCTCCCAACTCCCCGTTGGTGCCACCATCGTCGCTGTTGACATCCTCAGGTGTGTCGTCGACGGAATGGCCTCGAGTCACCGCGAAAAGAAGAAGCTTCGTGGGTTGATCAAGAACTGTGTTCTCGCAGGGCTCATGGTGGTGTTCGGAATCATTCTCAAAATCGATATTACCAAATTTTATAATAGGTACCTCATCATCGTCAACAGAATCGTCATGTTGGGGATCTTGAGCGGTACTGCAGCATAAATCGGCGAGACGTTGATGGTGCAAAATAGAGGAGTCGCATGTCGTTGAAAAGTTTGGTCCAGGAGTGACTGGTATGAGACCAAGGTTCAGGCTTGATTCTTCCTGAAGTCGGGTTTGTGGACGTGCAGGCGCAGGTACAGGCGATTCTTTCTCCTGTTCTGGGGATAGGAGCGGTCTCCCTTGACGACCAGGTACTGATTCAAGCTCTGGCTTGGATTGTCTTAGTTCCAAACCCTCTGGATCTTCACCAGATGGATCCTCCAAGTCTACTTCGGGTGGAGAAGGGAATTTCCCCTGGTCCTGTTGCCCGTCGCTTCGGGTCGCAAGCCCAAAACCTAGGAACCGCTCACAGTATGGACTTCGCCGCGTTGATATTGGGAGATGGTCCGAGTGCGCTGGAGACTTCTGAACAACACTCCCCGAACGCTGGACGTTCCCGACTTTTACACTCCCATCGTCGGCATGTGCACATGTACTGCCGGAAGCGACATTATCTTGACCAGGGTGTTGTTGACCGTTCTCTGGCGACAGACTCAACTCGGATGGGCTTGTATCCTGTTGATAAACGCGCTCATCCGAATGAACCAGTGGCACATGGCCCTCGATGCCTGCATTATCATTAGAGCTGAGTCAGTGCTCTTTGTTTGTTTCATAGGCTCACCACTGTTTAGATGTTGGTTCGAGCAATGACGTTTCAATCGACGAGAGTTGGCTGCATGTTCGGTATCCGCACGTTTCCGACGTTTCTGTGTCACCAAGAGAACCTGTTAGGATACAGAGCGGAACGAGTTGACACATTGGAATGGTTCCCGGCAATTTGGTCCTCCAGTTACACAGATTGGTACCCCCCGCGTCGTCACACACTGCCTAAACCAGTAGGGCTCTACAGGCGGTCCCAGGGTCCGGTCAAGCATGTGCTTGACGAGCAGGTTACTTTACAGGAGGCGTTCAGTGTAGTGGATGGCCTCTGGCGTAAGAATCACGCTCCAGAGGGATGAGTTGGCATGTGGAGGAGTATGGTTCGTTCGTTCACTTACGAGTTTCTCAGCCGAACGATTGGCTTCAACATCCATACCGGCAGCTAGAAGCGGTGTCCCATGCGGTTAGCTTGGCAGCTATCGAGACGCATCCATCCATACCTCTCTACTTACGACGCGATATTCGTACAGCGACGAGGTGTCGGTGGTCTTACGACAGTCGGGAATACTTGATCGGTAAGAGTGACGATGCAGGAGCAATATCCGCGGTCTCCCTCAGGTGAGGTGCCCAGGATTCACCCACTCGTCGCCCTCGAGCCCTTGTCTGAAGGGAGATGCAGGGGCGTTCGTTCTACCACTCCCAAGCCGTTGAGTGAGACAACCACATCCTTGTCGACTACATGAAATGATCCTTGTTCAGAGAGGCAGTTGGGCATCTTGAGAGTCAGTTTTCCTGTCAAAATGAAATGTCCTACTCCTATTGCTCTTCCCAACCTTTTGAGGCTTCACGACTTTCAAATTCGACATATTTTTAACATTTGATGCTAGTTCAACGTCTAACTTTCAAGGTTTCCTAGTCTTTAACGGATGGATCCTGTCTCAAGAGATACCGCCAATCAACGACAAGGTTAAACAGCTGGCTTGGATCCACAGATGCCATGTTCTGCCGTCACCGGTCAATCTGAGTGGTCAATAGTACAGGGTTTAGGTTTCGCTGGCGTTGTCGACGGGGATAGGCCATCTCGGCTTTTTCGGAGCTCAACCTCAAGTCAACAACGGCAATTAGAACATTAAAAATCACTGGCATCCCGTGTTGCTATTACGTATCGCAATGTCGGATAGGAGCAATCAATGGTGATCTTTTGACTTCATGAAATCCAACTATCCTTCAACAATACAGCATATCTGAGGTTGTTGTCTCTCTCGTATTTGAGCCAGTCACCATCCCAGTACTGATTCCATTGAAGGGGTACTATGTACAAATTCCGGATCTTCGCTTGAAGACATCTGAGACGGAATCGGCTAAGTTGCCTTGACGGCCCGCATCGGGAACCTACATAGATGGACAGGCTGCCAGACGGAGAAATTTGAACAAGGGTGAGTAGGTAATTAAAAGGAACTTTTGAATATCTCAACTGAAATGAACGCAATTCAATAGCTGAGACACGATTGTCAGTAATCGATGAAGCCAAGCATTCTCGCCTCTCGTTATACAGCCGAAAGAATCTAACTAGTACTTGATTATAACTATACGTGTCTCGCGGTCATTACATGAGAGCCGAACATAGTTGAAAGAATTGTCTGTCTCAACCAAGCCAATCTCGCGGACAACAAATCCATGGTGTCTTTAGTCACACTGTGGCATATCTCGGCAGTTACATTTGTGCAGTGGTGCGATTCTCGAAGCTTACACATGGTATGTACGTAGATTTGGTCCACTGTCAAACCAGAAAGATCGGTCATTCATAACAAGGAAAAATTTAGCATCAACTTAGGCGAGTACTGGTCTAGATTCTCACGAGGTTGGTCACTGTAAGCGAGTTTCTGGGCAAGGGCCGCTTCCTTAGAAAATGCTCATACAATTTCGCTACCGTAAGGGACAACGGGAGACCCGAGATCTTCTTGACAACCCTTGTCTTACAAGACATTGCATCAACGTCAAGGTAGTCAAGATCCGGCTATACGTATTCGGAAGAAAAACATACCTGCGTGTTCGAGGCCGCTGACTATGTTCAAGTGTTGTTATGGCAAGGTTTCAGAACTCGACAGACAGGTATTTGAAAGTTACCTGAGCCAGTCAAGCAAGGCCCTCACATTGTGGATCGAAAGGCATGGCTATGTGTATCTTACGATTACTTAGGAATGGACTAATATTGATATGAAAGAAACCCAGGAATGTAGATCTACAGTATGTAATGTGCTAGTAAAAGGATAATACCAACTCCTGACTTTTTGGACTTGGTGTCTATAGTACACAGCAACCAATCTTGACTCCTTGATACGATAAATCAATTGGTCAATTTGTCGGTGTTTTTAACACTGGCGGGGGTGAACTTATAGCGGCACGCAACAAGGATTCTCCGATAACACAACTATGACAGACAGGGGGGATACATTATCCAAAGAATGGCTACTACCTAACGACCTGGTACCAAGCATCCGTACCTAGGTTGTCTAGCGTAATAAATACATGAGGCTGGATCTAACGAGGCGACAGACACATAAAAGGGTCTATACATCCCGCCAAAAACAAAAAAGCAAACATATTGTAACTCGGAAACGACTGAAGATTAGGAACAGAGACAAAAATCAAAGGTCTTCACATCCGTGCGGCCTATACATCATCAGCTTTCCTCACTCTTCTGCATCAGAACTCTCCGAGTCTTCCATCACGAAGCAAGCCGAGCTTGTGGCGTACTTCGGCACAGGATACTCTGGCATTGGAACAATAGGGTAATGTTGAGTCCTGATCCTGCGGTTCTCTCCATAGGCAGCTTCCCAAGGAGGAAGCAGACCATCAGGGATTGCCCAGCCGTACTTTTGGCTGCGAAGCCAGAGTCTTACCAGATGTCGCGATGATGTAGCGTTGTCCGTGTAGGCATCTCGGCGGTGAACGAGGGCAAGGTTGTTGAAGAACAAGAGATCACCTGTCTCCAGCTTCAGCTTCAGCTCGAATTGCGAAGCGGCGTCTGATACAGCTTGGAGGGCATATCGCTGAGCTTCTGAGAGATCAGGAATGTTCGTCCTCATCTTCGGGTGCGGGCCGAGGCGGTGCAGATCAAGGCTGACGAGAAGCTTGTTATCGTGGAATTCAAAAACGGGCGCGAGATAGAACGAGGCGTTACGGCCGGACCTGCCCGAGACATTTTGTTAACGCTGTCCCCAGCCCTACTGAAAAATGCGAGGGTATGTCTTACAGTTGAACAGGCCAGTTAGAGGCTCTCAGAGTATCAATAACCTCAGGCTTGTGGATAAACAGGTGATTAAACACAGTCCAAGCAGAACTAAGATAGGTGTTTCCTCCCTTATTGGCGCTGTCTCGGACTTGGAGGGATAAAATATCACATCCCATGTCAGTATGGAAAGGCTGCAGAACGAACAGTTAGGTGGAATCTTATTTCTTTGAGTTGGCTGTTGAGGCCTACCAAAAATTGATTGGTATGAATACCATGACGCGCGTGAGTGGGAGTAGCCCACTTCTTTGAGTCAGTTATATGGGCTACAATCGTTAGATGAAAATCTTAAAATTCGAATAATGGCAAGTAAAGTGAAAACGTACAAAGCATGTTCCCTTTTCGGTCCTGTAGGCCACGCTTGTCGCCAATATAGCTGGCTACACCCAGGAAGATAGTAACACTATCTTCATTAGTGTATTTCGCACCATCGATGCCACGAATAATAACGAAACCCTTGCCAAGATGAAGAGTTTCAGCACTGGCACGCAGGCGCCGAGATAAGTTAGGAAGGGGGAAGTTATCTGCTGAAACTTTATCACCATCAAGACCGAGGGCTAGCGTACCAAAAACCGTTAGCAAACTACTTAAACCTGAGTCAAATTAGTGGCTTAAGATGATTAGGACTGACCTTTGAAACTGGCAAGGGCGCTGTCAACCTCGCCAGCCTCCTCGTCACTAAGACGGAGAGTGTAGGTTTGGTCTCCGTCGAAGTCTTGACCAGACCAGAGAAGAGGACCACTAAGACGATTGTTTTTGGCGTCATCCTTGATAGGAGAAGCTCCAATAATATCAGAGTTTGCACCAACGACGCCATCGTCAGAGCGTTCCGTATCTTGAGGAGTAGTGCCCCTGAGAGATGCCATTTTGGAAAACGAACAACACTTTAAGAGTCAGGGGACAATAGGAAGAGTAGAAGTTATCGATAGAGTTTTATTGTGCTTTGGGAGATGGTTTGCATGTGAAGCTTCAATTCTAGAGAGAGTAACCCGAGCTATTTATGTTGATAACTCGTCTAACACCAGATATCCCACATTTCGAGGCATCCAACAACTGATCATCTCTCTTGCAGACTGAAAAGATGCAAATCAAACATCTCCACAGCCGCCGGTTGTCTGCCGGATGCCTCCCCGGCCTGAAATCAACGAGTTGTCATCGCATTGCATCTTGACATTGTCATCGTCCACTATGGGCTGCAGATCAGATGACCGGCCGGCCTTGTTATCGTACATATCGTCTTTGTTAGCTGCAGAATTCGTGGGGCGGATGCAAAGAATAGAAGGCCTCATTTTTCAAAGTTGACATGGTGCGCTGGTTTTGAAAAGGGGGTGTTGACACGCTGGGCTGAGATGGCACCTCTTCGAGGCCAAGCAAGCCCTGGCGGTTATCGAGAGTTCCAACTCTACAGAAACTAGAAGGTATTACAAAGGAAGCGGTACTATGGTTCTTCATATTGCTTTGGAATATATGAGAATTGCACCGAGAGTCATAAGGCAATACGTTCGTCTAATTGCCGTTTCACAGGGCCTTTGGTTAGACTGACCAGGTCTCTCGGTAGGGTGACCGGATAGAGCAATTGACAGATACAAGGCTGATCGATATCAAACTAAGGATCTTAGACCCGGTTCCGGCTGCACGACATTGTTGTCCGGTCTTAGCCAGCGCTAAAACAAGACATAAGGCGGGTACCTGGATTGTTCCGGTTCGAATATTAACAACTATTACACATACCGAGATACTGATCCACTACTTGTAGTCACACTATCTCTCTTATTGATCATAAAGGTTAAAGAGTGACATAAGCTAAGCTGTAATAGGATGGTTCTAGGAGAATCTTTCACATTATACCTGGTCAGTTGACAAGTACCTCTCGGTTCCTTCACACTTACACTTGTGCAGGGATATTGCCAATCTAGAGATTTAATAGCGACTGTTATGCAGCAATATCGAACGCGCTTAATTCATTCCAAGTATCGGGACGTCTTGAACCCCGATGTGGTGCACTATGTGTCTAAATAGGGGTATCAGTTCGTTGGACTTGCTTAAGCAAAACACTTTATCGTCTGTATAAACACCAGTATGTGCAGGGTAATTAAATTTCCAGATAGAAGTTCAAGGATGCCATTATAATACCTTTTACTAAAAGCGAAAGAAGTCCATTCCATTTTGAGTACGTACTGAGCGAGTTTACCTCCTCGTCTTCGACTCTCTTATCATATACCGACTGTGACTCTAAGCTGTTACCTTCTCATCACACTGCTTACACGTAAACATGTAAATCAGCACATGTCGTCGACAAACACCCGGATATAACATCCGAGCCAATGATAGTTGCAGCAACTCTTCCTCAACGACCCTTGATGAATTTCGAAGCCCTTGTCTTGAGGCCGGATCATTCACATATCTTGATCATTTCTACAAACTGCTCACTTCTAAATAACCATTTAGGCAAGCCCCGTGTCTGTGATGCGACACAAGACACGTAGCGAGTATCAGTGATAACCGGGTATCACACTGCGCACTCAGGGGTGACCCTGTCAGAGGAACATGTCTGATGGGGAACAGCGGCCCTCTCGCTCCTCTATAGCTATGGCGTGCATGATCACCATACTGGGGCTCTCCGGTTCCACTTCTGTTGAGGTGTGAGTTGGCTAACGAGTATCTTCAGGTCCTGCCCGAACTACACGATCGCAGCTAGCCTGAGGTGTCGTCAAGTTGCATTGTTGCAACATCGGCCTGAGCAGACACCTGAACCATGAGTTTTCATTGGCTAGGTTACAAATTTCCTCGAGCTGGCGTGCATCTATAGATGGCATCATGCGAGATTCTTCTGCCCCGGCTGGTCAGACAGTGTGACGCCCAACCTTGACATGAGAAAAGGCGTACATCGTGAGGGATACCTAACAGGTAACACACTTGACGTGTATAGCACATCACTAGCCTTCTTTTCACGTTACAACGGCAAGTTGGGGTCCTCTTGAAGCTCGTTTGTACGACTCGGGCATCACCAGGGTCGTCCCCTTGGCTGTTAGCCAAGCCGCAGTTCACCTTTTCCAGCTTCGTGACAACTTATTGCTCCAAAAGTTCTAGCCAACTGATTGCATAACATTCACCGAGATCCTTTGCTGCAGAAGCATGGTCCTTCCTAGTACCCGTTTCTTGAGTCAGTCCCTTAAGATACCCGATATTGCCAGGTTTACTACCGATTAGGTAGGCAATTAATTTTAAGGTGGCTTTCAGGCTTATCTTTAACCTAAAAAGGTATGCAACCTCTTTATATCTCCCTGAACGACAGTGAACTCTAACATAAATATGTGAAATTGTCCAGACTCTCCAAAGCTAGCGCCTTGCAACTGTGACGGTCTTAATAGAACCGCTAGTCCCAACGTTCTTGGCACGTCCCTCCACTGCGGCAAAGGCTCCGAGTCTCTAGTAAATGGGTCTTTAATTTCCCTTGGCGCCAGAATGTTGTCACTAGCCGGGATCATTCGTCTCGAGTAGTGATGAGGGCAAACGATTCGGGGGCCCGGAACAGAAGCACTTGCAGCAGGGAAGTTCTCCGGTTGCCCACACCGGGATATACCTTGGGGTGTGTTTTATTCGGCCGCGGATTTCGTCTGGAGTACTTGCGGGATACTTCAAGTGCTCTGCATTTGAGGCAGCTGGGATGGCATCAGACCGAGGTAAGCCATGGTCTCGATGGAGGCTATACTCGTCCACAACATAGAAGCAGGATAGACCAAGGAGAAGCACATGATGATACCACGTCACGAACAGGGCTCCCAATTGAGACATACCTGCGTTGTTTGTCTTTGATATGTGGGATGTGTTGGCTCTAGAAGAAAGAGATCAACCTGATACCCATCCACCGTAAAGACCGCCCAACCAGCCCAAGCCCCACGCCTTGTTCTAAGCCATGATCATCTGCACAACTCTGACGCCAAATTCCACTTTCCAACGTGGAGTGTTTGTTGCAGCCCTGTTCGTGCAGTATATGTAAGTAGAGACTGACAGGGACCAGCCTACACAAACCAACAAGATACATAAGATTGATGAGCTGGCTACACATCCAATTCATCAGCACTTGCCGTATCTCTGTGTCATTGACGAAAAGAAAGTGCAGAGTTGTGGACCTAACTCGCTGAGTGTGGTTGCTGTCCTATCCTACCTACAACTAACTCAAACTATTACGTCGCACACGCGATCCTCATCCTAGAAAACAAGCCATTATGCAACCATCAAAGGTTGGACGTACCAATCTCTGATACCCATTAAGCAATCATTATCCAATACACCTGCTCATCCTGAACAAACTTGTTACCTCGTTTTCGATCATCAAGCCAATAAACCCATTATGCCAAAGATAGCCCCTATCCCCATCGCCGCCGTCACATGAGCGGCTCCCGCAGTCTGAACGGACGTTGGACCATCCGTCTCGGTCTCCGATCCAGATACAGTAGTCTTTTCTACGAGTGTCATTGAGGTGGTGGGAGATGAAACCTCGCTTCCTGGGACCCAAGTCTCCGACGGGGCTGGTACTACTGAACCCCCAGCAGACGACACATACTCCTCGACAGTCATGAGAGTTGACACAAACGTCGAAGATATCGTCTCGACGCTTGCAGACTCAGACTCAGCTGTGACTGAGCATGCTGCACAACATTTGCCTGTCGCCTCAGAACAACCTGCACCCGAACTCACTGCCTCGACCGTAGTCAACTCCGTCCTCGTACCTTCGACCACGACTTCTCCCGTCGACGTAGAATATGCCTCCACAAGAACTGTCTCTATGGTGGTCGATATAGTACGGAGCAGCGTCGCCGTTGACGGGGTCTTGGACTCCCATGTCTCGGTGATTGTCTTTGTCATCGTCACCGTGATGTCTGTTGTACAAGGCCCCGAGATGGGGACTTCCTCAGTCACCGGCTCTGTCAATGTCTCAGTGGTAGACGATGTCTCGATAGATACAAAGGACCATGGGAGAGTCAACTTCGTCTTGCTTGGCAGGACGAATGTGCCTGTCACCTCTGGTACATGAGTTACCGTCGGTTCCTCTGCCTCGGCTGAACTCAAAGGGGGAAGACCAAGTTCGCTCGAAGCCAGCTCACTCGAGGCCGAGGAACCAGGCTGTTCCCATGTCCAGGGAGACATATGCGTGGAAGTAGTCGAACATGATGTCGAGGTTGACAGGTATGGAGAAGTCCACGTCTCTACCGAAGGGATAGGAGTATTCCATATCGTGATGCACGATGTCATTATCGGCGATGGAGTAGCTGCGGCAGCTTTAGACTCGCCACTCCTCCTGTTCATCATTAGCATGTACCTAGCTCAAGAAGGGGCCACTTACCAAGGGACAGTGACAAGTGTTTGACATGGCGGCGCGCAGATGATCGTCTCCGAAGCCTTCCCATATGTGGTGCTGTACTCTCGAGTAAACTCATCTGTGATGACCGTGAGTTTCTCCGTAATCGTAATGACACTAGGATCCCACTCGGTGACAGAAGATACGTCCTCACCATCAGTAACAGAGCAGAAGAGACAGTCCACAGTCAAGACAGTCGTCGGCTCGGGAGCAACAGAGGTTGGAAGAGGAGGAAGAACCTCGACAGAGAGGACAGGCTGTCTAGAATGAGGAAAGGGTATCTGAGTCACCGTGGTGGAAACCAACGAGGTCAAGAGGACAAAAAGAAGGCTAAAGGCGCCCATGGTGCAGGTAGAAGCAAAAGCCACTACTGTAAAAAGCTAAAGAGTGTATCAGCGTTCGGTTATTCAGTTTGTATCAAAGAGATATAAAACAGAACAAACAACCCCTGAGCAAACGACAGAACTTCTTCCTTAAGTACAGATATTAAGGCCTCATTACACAGCGTTTCTTAGACGGCCGCTGGCTCGGGGATGACTGAAAGGATTTGAGTTTCTTATCACGTTGGGCATGAGCCATGTTTACCTGTCCTGTTCTTTCTTTCTTTCTTTTCGTTTCGCGGAAACATATCACGGCATATTCTGTCAAATATGTAGTGATATGAGTCTACTCCAATCAAAGGCTCTGTTCTTTAATTACCGTGGAACCATTGGGTTGTACGGATAGGGGTAACGGCGTCTGGTGCAACTACTTGGTGCGACTAGTTCAAACGAATAGGTTTAGGCTATCGTTCTTTCAGCCGGCATTTGCAACGCGAACCAATTCCTGACCGACGGCAATGTAAAAGTTCAATTTCGCTGTAGGTCAAGGTTTCCCTGGGGCGAAGAAGAGGTTTGGAAGTGCAACATTGATGTCGGTTGAAGTTGCCCAAAGGCTGATGAGTCTGTCTACACCGCTCTTCGGTTCTATGAGAAAGATTTTCAGAGAAGTACGAGCTTCTTTTGTTTCTAATTCAAGCTTCTGAACTAGCAATTGATAGGGGAGACACAAATGTTGGCGGGTGGTGGAAGAAAGGACATATCGATGTTTGGGGTGAACCATTCATTTTGGCGACGAACAACGGTGCAGCTGTAGGATTCCTGAGATGATCTCATTCCGCCTAATTCTAGAGTCCCGTTCTTGGTTCATGTAAAAGTTTACAGGATTAATCCAAGCGAGCCGAGTCGATCTCAGACCCTCTCGCCTCTGCCTTAACCAGCACAGCCTAAACAAATCTCAACTCGGAGATACTTGAGCGATGCATGTTTATATCTTCTAATGGTTATTCCATTACCATTAACTGTTCGAAACGATCATATAATCTCTCCTAAATAGCCCACTCAAAGTCTCGTTCATGTCGCAAGAGCGTTACTCGCACCCGTCGGGAAGACCTCCGAAATCTGATATTCCCGTCCGAAACAGTTGCCGGATCTCATGTCTGACCTGTCAGTTAGACTGATAGTGGCTAAGACAACTAGATGAGGACATGTCGGACCTCTATCTATTGTTCTTAGATATTGGATGTTGAAAAGGGGATTAACCTTGCTTTGTCCTCAGAGCTGGATCGGCTACTGTGAGCAGATCCAGATTGAACATTATGAAAGAGCTACTCCTGAAGTTTTTACTCACGCTTGATCCATCTTCTTGTCCCTACCATTACCCCACGATGTCTTACCCGCATGGCTCAGGGGGGGGGATCGCAATGAGCCCTCCGTACATTGTGTGATAACAAGACTCGAATCTTTCGTTACGTGACAATAGCTTCTGTGGTCACTTAGGTGAGATGTCATTCGCAACATCCATCCCGGTTTTTGTATTCACACAGATGGGTTTTATCAAGACAGGAATACCATCAGATACTGCCCGAGAGTGATCTTGTGAAGAATCGTACAGGGAACTATTGCGTATCTTGTGATTGAGATGATGAGTTGACCGTGTTCGTGTTTTGCCTCCTGCGCATGATGTATTATTGATGCTTCTGCTTGTATAATATGTTACTTATCTAACTAATCACATACTGGACTCTTCAGCTAACCCGTCAAATGTTCCCCCTATAATATCTCCTACTCGCCAAGTGTAATATGATACCACTTAAGCATGGCTTAGGGCATGCCGCATACATGTCTTTCATGCCACGGAGAGCACGGTTCAAATTGAGATCTTGTTAGTTTAGACATCTGTGTCAATTCTGATGCCATTGTGCCATAAATCAACCCTTGGAACGTACTGGCTTGATCGATCCTTCACCCATTTGGCAGTAACAAGTCAACTGGTAAGTGGCTGGAACATACAGCAAGCCAGAAGCTCAACGTTATGCAATAACTAATGCAGCCACTAAAGTTGGCGCAGAGGCTGGCACTGGCATTACCCTGCAGGTGTAGGTTCTGGCCTCGTGGTTCAGAGAGTCAGGCTGGTATGTAGACATTGAGACCTATCACTGCATCTTAACTCAGAGGCTGGCTGATTCACCAAGAACATGTCGGAAACAAAGGCGAAGTTATGCCTTTTGGCTCAACCTTCCGCTGAAATCCGTTTCGTCAACAGTAAACCTACGCTCATCCAGCCCACCGGCGTCTGGAAGGATGGCTGCTCCAAGCACCAGAAGCCATGGCCAAAGTCTAACAGGCAGCGAGTTGAGATCGAGGTACCTCAATGAAATACCAAGCTATGATATCATTGTTCTTATCTGACACCTCTCGGTAATAACCGACGCCACAGCATGTCAACGGGGCAAGTTGTCAAGAATCCCGGGGGCTGGACGGGCACTTGTGGGGCCGTTGATGTCGATCCCGGCGCCGTCCACCGGTAAGTGGCTAGAAATGGCAGTTCTGAAAGTGCAGTAGACAGTAAAATTCGGTTGCGGTAGGCTCTTCTCTGCATAGTGACATGGCACGAGCGGAAGCCGTACTCGTAGGGTCCATCGTTCGGGACTCCAGAAGCATATCAGCACATTATGCGTTATCTCACGAGTTTACTCTGGAGAATACTCCACTTGCTCCAATAGCCTGTTTCTAATGGATCCCCCTAAATCTTTGGGGAGAGAAAAAATTGCACCTCTTGGCGAGGTCCGACACAGCCTGTGCGTTCAGAAATAAGATTATCATGTCATGGTGATTCTAGACTAACAGGTATGGAGAAAAAGAGAGTAGAGTCGCTAGTTGATCTCGGGTTTTCGGGTTTAGGCTGTTGAATCCACTGATCTGCGGCAGTGGTCTAGTTTTGATTCATGGAGCTTTATTGACATATTGGGCCCAGACACGAGAGTGAAGGATCGTATTAGCAGGCCCTGTAGATATAATGATGGGATGTTGGACTTGAGGCATGCGGTATTGTTCAGCCAAGTATTAAGCATTGTTGAGTTCTTCTTGATCGTGACGAAGAACTCACTGGCGTGAATCAACCCAAGGAACAGTGCTGGTGAAAACCTGGCCAGAGGTCTAGGGTAGCCAGATAGCTGGGTTGGCTGACTAAGATTCATGCTCGTGAGAACTGGATGTGATCTGACATGTACCTATGCATGTACTCTGTATGCGACGTTGCATTTTGGTGGACCATTCCATTGGCATATGACAGATTTTCATTGCTTTCAGGGTTCACCTGAAATTTTATGTTACTCCTAGACTTTGAATATGATCTGATCTCACCTTACAGCCAGTACTTGTCCAACCTACTACAAGCGTGGTTGCTGTGTCACCAGTCACCGCTCTCCCTTCTCAAGACAATCTTCAGCCTTGCCAGCAAGCTGAGCTGGCGCCCTTTCGGACCGACCGCAAAGAGACGTTGCTTCTTCGGGTCTAGTCTGGGGTTTAGCACAAATACTGGAAACTGTGTTTCTCCAGGTTCAGCCAAGGGCATTTCCCCCTTGCTGCTGGGGTTTGTGGGTGATGGGTTGTGTTAAGATTATAGCAATCAATTCCAACATCGAAAGCTGGAAAATATCGTCAGGCCCTGATCGACAAAAGACGCATCTACCAGCAGAGGCACGACTCATGCGCAAGACGTAACAAAACCCACTGAAAAGCACACGACGAGTGTTCCAAGTTCCTTCGAGAAAGACGCTAGCCACGGCCAGTCCGGCAACTACTGCACGATGAGGCCACGAACGAACACGCACAAGTATACAGTGTTGGTGACGGGCAAACCTAATTGGCTCATATCTCACACTGTGATAGCCCACCAGGTTATGGGAGGAACTTGCTCGCTCGCACACCGTCCAGTCAACAACATCAGCATCTTTTGGTGTTTGTAACCATATCGTGAAAAGACGGGAACACGTCTGGGAATAACAAACCCAATTATATTGAACTCAATCATTCTAAACTCAATCGCTAAATACCTTCAATCACGTCAATTCATATTTCCCTATCAGCTGAGTTGGACAATCTCGGTACCAGTGACCTACCCCTTGCAACATATTACAATGCACAGAAGCTTGGATGATCCGACGCTATTACGGTGAGCCTTTTTCAACCATCGAATTTGTGTGTCACAAAGGGGTCGGTTAAACATGCTCAAACTCTTCATGCGTAGCCACGCTATTGTGATTAGGCTTATTCACGATATTTAACCTATAAGCATGGACAGGAACAAACGCCTCAGGGTCATATCAAGCTTTATGATATGGAAGGCGGCTTAATCGTATCACCTCCCCTCTTTGCGGGGAAGGGACTGGGAACTTCCATCAGATCCACGTTGTTTCCCTTTTCAACATCGGAAGAAGCTCTGGTGTCGCTGTGCATAGCAACGCGTACGTAACCTTATTACCCCAGAACTAAGATTGATACGTGATACAGCCGCGCAAAAACGCACGGATGGTCCTGTTTCAAGCGAGATGACAGCTGCACTGCGACTTCCGCATCAGATCTATCTATATACGTACAGTTGTACCTAGGATGGGTAGTACTCTGTACTGTCAAAGAGCATCATTGGTTGCCTAGGTATCCTGATGTTAGTCGTAATTGTGCTCTAGTATAAGTGAACATAAGCGTCGTGTTATGACTTTACGAGCTACAAGGAGGCTGAACAGACGTAATGGGAGGCTGTGTTGCTTGAACACTAAGTTGATGGTCCATCAAGGGTAGAGATCCTCAAGATGGAGATATAGTAGAGGATGTAATTAGACCTGAGAGTCGACCAATTTTTGGATGACACATAACTCTCATTCCATAGTAATGGCGTTATAGCAGTCAATTGCAGTACAAGTGCTAGATAATGGATCGACACAATAGCCAGATACTAACCTACCTGTTATTGTACAGAACCAGGGGCTGACATAACGGAACCTATCCAAGTTCTATAACGTCTAGTTTGTATTCTACCATGAAACAGCTGTATACTTGCAGTTACGCGTCATGATATCTTACCGTTACTGTCTACCGTCCAAACATACATTCATCTTACTTTCCTAGGGGCCGAACCGTCGTATCGTCATCTGTACAGCCACCTAATGAATGACACCGAGATTGATGAAACGACAATATTCAAAGTACGCATATAGATTGACTCTTTACCTGTTCATCCGTCCGCGCGTATATTGTAGGGCTGAGTATCTGTTGTCTCTATCGTTTTGTAGATGATCTACTTATACGCGTATATGGAAGCCCCACAGATTACTGATGGACTATGAATGGTCCAAAAAGAGTGGGCTCACTCACGTATAGGTATCCGCGTAAAGAAGACAGACATTTTTTTATAGACATTTGTAGAGAAAGACGACAGTTGGGGAGGAGGAGTTTATATGAAAAGTCGAGTATATAGTTGAGCGTAATACCAAGACAATTCAAGATTATTTCACCCCACTCAGCTTTTATTTCTCTCTGCATCATAGCGACATTAAAACACCAATATTAAACCCCACCACTATCACCAAGAGCCTCACGACAACTCACTCACAATGGCGGGCTCAGATGCACCACAGGCTTATGTCTTTTACAATTACAACCCGAGCATGGTGGCGGCTGTCATATTTATCGTTGTGTTTGGCATCTCTTCATTATTACACACGTATCAACTTGCGCGCGCTCGAACATGGTACTTTATTCCATTCTTGATTGGATGTCTCTGTACGTCCCCCCAAAACCAACCATTGGTGTCTATTCATCCCTTACTTACTTATAATTTAGTCGAATGTGTTGGCTACATTGGTCGTGCTCTCTCAGCAAATGAAGCACCCGACTTTAGCAAAAACCCCTACATCATCCAGTCTATATTGTTGTTACTTGGACCAGCACTGCTCGCCGCATCCATTTACATGGTCCTCGGTCGTCTCATCAGGCTCTTGGATGCGGGTCAACTCTCCGTTATTAGCCCCAAGTGGCTTACCAAAGTGTTTGTCACTGGCGATGTTTTGTCTTTTCTCGCGCAGAGTGCCGGTATGTGTCTTTTAAGTAACTCACTCAAATGATCTTGCTGACTGACTCTTATAGGTGGTGGTATGTTGGCGACAGCCAAGGACAAAGATGCTGTCAAGAAAGGCGAAAACATCATCGTCGGTGGTCTCATCATCCAGATCCTCTTTTTCGGCTTCTTCATGGTTGTCACTCTCATCTTCCATGTCCGCATCAACCGCAACCCCACACAAAAGTCTCTAGAGATTGTCACTCCTTGGAAGAAGCTCCTATTCGTCCTGTACGCGGCCAGTCTGTCCATCCTCGTGCGATCAGTATTTCGTGTCGCCGAGTACGTCATGGGCAAAGACAGCGCACTCCAGTCGCAGGAATTCTGGATCTACATTTTCGATGCTCTACTTATGAGTTTGGTCGTTGTCTCGCTCAACTGGTTCCACCCTAGTCGCGTGATCAATGGTGCGTTAGACGGGAAGCGGATTGCGAGTCAGGATGAGTATATGCTGGAGGGTCAAGGGTATGAGGGACACCGCCAACGATACTCTCTGTCGCCTGCCCGTCCCAAGAATTGAGGAGGATTAATAGGTCTGTCTGGTGGAGAATATGTTTGAGGACAAGTATGGGCTTTAGTTGTAGACATAGTATTGGTTGAATAAAACTTCCTTTTGTTGTATAGAAGTGGGATGTCACTCAATATTCATGGGTCTAGCCTGTAAAGCTCATACGAGACAGCCTCAACCTTGTTACTGTTACATGAGGCTCAAAGTGGCTCTCATTGCTTCAGGTCTTGGAAGTAAATTATGGAGATTAAGAGGCAGATGAATGAGTGGATGTTTGTTAGTGAGACATTGAGATTGAAGTTCCGATGATGCGGAATTGTGTCGATTCGAAACCAAGGCGACCAAAAAGCAAAAAAAGTTGGTTCGGGGATTGTCTTTTTTCGGTAGCATTGGCGGGAACCTGGAACTAAGACGGGAATGGACGGTTCAGAACAACGGCTCTTATGCCCCGAAATAGTGACAATTGGCGATTGACAATTCAAGTCATATCATTTCAGTTCGTATCGTTTCGGCCTGAAGTGTTTGAGAAACGTCAATGTACCGTGACGGAGCGGAACAGAAGAAGCAAACATGAGATCTTTTGACGCATCATCTTGAGGTAAGGCAAGTAACGTCAAGAGAGAGATAACGCGTGTCGGACCGACGTACAAGCAAAAGACTTGCGACTTGCGTGAATTTTAGGTGTAGAAGCATGTACACGATCGTCGATGTAGATTGATTCTGTTAGGCTTCACCTCTATTCCATCACCAGTACGTACAGGCAACCCGAGGTTTGTTTGTTGCCGGAGACTGGAGGCTGGCTGTGCTTAAGTTGCACTGTTTTGAACTGTGAGAGCTGAGGGATTAGAATGGTCAAAGCGGAGAGCAGTCACTGAAAGTCGACGTGGCACAGTGTAAGGTAGCTTTTAGAGGCTTAGCACTCTAGCCTGGCACTGGTAGGTTGGTGAGCGCCATCTGGAATCAATTTGTCAAGGTATCGTTGCGTTCGCTTCCATCTTCAATTCGATGATTGCCATCATCAACTTGATTTGATTGTTTGGAAATTGACGAGGATAAAAAGCAACTGAATCTCCCTCTGTTTACGAGTAGTACTCTGTACCAACCTCTCATCCCCCCCCCCCCCCCCCCCCCCNCCCCCTTGTTCTATGATATTCCTCGTCCATGATTTTCAAGCACTGTGGTGGCTGCTAATTTCTTCCTCTACACCTTTCCTCTTTCAGCTCCTTCGCCCGTTCGGAAGTACGGTTGGCTGCGCGTTCCTTGGTCTTTGGAAGACGTGTGGTACGAGTAAAAACTGGCTTAAAAAGTCTCTCTCCACTTTGTTTCTTTGCCAAGGTACTTGCTACCCGCGATCCTCTTGTCCCACCCTGGAACTGCGGACTACAGACCGCGCATCCACTGTCCAGGCACTGACTGGCTTCAGGGTATCAGAAAAATTGACCGCTGGAAGCATAGAAGACGAAATTAGTAGGTCAGCTTATGCTTCTTAGATCAGGGTGTTTGTACTAGTTATTTTTGTATCATAAGACTTAGGAGGCCAACTTTTCTGCTACCCACTAGACTGGCTGGTACAGTACAGCAAAACTGTACTGTACCTCACTTGCTTGCAGCCGTCAACCTAAGATCCACTACGGGCAAGTCCACCACCCCGGTCGTTTCCTCGAAATCTCCTTCCCCTACAAACCCGCTTCTCACCTCATTCTATTCCTATTCCTACTCTTGCCTTCTCTCCCCGTCCCCGTCCCCTTCATCCACATTCTTTCTCCCCTGTTACAACCAACACAACGACGGTTGCCAAAACACCACAACTCCGTCAACTCTTCCTATATTCAACTAAAACAATATTGACCTTCCGAATATCGACAAACTCTACGCCTCTTACAACTCCTGGTCACCCACCCGAACGAGACCCCCCGCATTATGGTCCATCGCGAAAGGGCCGAATAACGCATGCACGCTCGTCTCGTCCCCTTCAATCTCCCCTCCCCGCCTGAATTCTAAGTCGCCCCGAATATACCTTCGAAAACGACATTTCTTGTCACGGCCGGCCACCCCCGCAAAATCCCCAGACTTTGGCTCGCTGGCTTGCTTCCTCCCCGCGATCCGTCTGTCTATCATCCTGTCAACCGAGCATATATAACGCTCCGCCGACAGTATATCTTTCATCGACCTGGGAGCTTATCGTGCTCTAGCACTGTTCCCATCGCCCGTCCCGACCGTTATTAACCTAATCTTCACCATGGGTACCATTCAAAAGAGGGCCTGCGATGGATGCCATCGTCGAAAGGTCAAGTGCGATTCCAACAATCCATGCCGAAACTGCAACACTGCCAACATCCAATGCACGTACAATGCTATTCCTCAGAAGAAGGGCCCCAAGGGTTCGCGCGCCAAGGTCATCAGTGAACTTCGAGAGAACCAGCGCTTGACGAGTCTTCCCGTCAAGGTCCAGGCCAGAATGAACGGCGTTATTCCTGATGCCATTACGCACCACAATCCAGTACCCGGACTGCTCACAGCCGAATTCGCAAAGAGCTGTGTCAACTTCTTCTTCGACAATCTCTACTCCAAACTACCCATCCTCGACCGAAATGCCATAGAAGCTCAGCTACCAGCCATGGAGAGAAGCCCCGATACATACTGCTTATTCACTGCCATGTCCGCCTTCATGATGCTTCAGCCAGGCATGGGCTTTCCCACAGCCGATTACAACCTCCAGATGGAACCTGGCGCCACCATCGCAGCCAGTGCCATACTGCTCGACGAGTGCCTACGCGTTCGCAAGGGCTCCGACTATTGGGAACGCCCTACCCACAACGCCCTGGCCACCAATTTTTTCATCTTCGCCATTCACTACACTCAAGAAGCTCATTCTTCCGCCTGGTATTATCTTCGAGAGGCCACAACCATGATCCAGATGTCAGGCCAGAACAACGAGGAAAAATACTTGCAAGATATAGACTCCATCCGACGACGACGCCTGTTCTGGCTGTTTTTCAATGCTGAGCGAGCCTATGCTATTCAGCGCGGTTATCCCCTGTCCTTGCAGGCAACTGTCCACACGGGCAATTATACTGATGATCCTGGGGACACTTTCAACCCTTCTATCCAGAACAACTTTTTCAACTTGTGTGGCGTCTTCCAAAACATCGACGACAATTTCCTCAATATTTGGCGACATCCATGCTGTCGCCTCGATGGCCAGACTATCGCTTCATTGAGCTCTCAGCTCGCCAAGATGCCGTCTACATACCCTCCTGGTGCTGCTTACCAAGCTGTTCAAAACTGGCTTAAGAGTGTGGCATGGCAGGTCAGCGGAGATTCTCAGGAGTCTATCGCGTACAGAATGTCCCAGTTGCTTTCTGGTTTCCCTAACCCGGGAATGTTGATGAACTCTGGCTTGGTAAGTTCTTATATCATGTTATCCCAAATTTAGTTTTGTTCTAACAATTCACAGATCCCCAAACTACTCCAAGTAACTTCAGACTTGATTGTTTACCTGGCCAATGCGCCCCAGTCTCGCAACCCAACAACCCCTGGGCCCGACCGTCACCTTCAGCCCCTCCTGCGCATTTGTCTGGCTATTCAAAACGAGAACTACCAGTTCGTGCCTCTGTTGTTGAGCAAGATTAACGAATATCTCCCTTACGTCATCGACCCTACATTGTTAAACCCGCCAGAGAATGTTGCCTCCTATGGAATGTCTGCTGATATCTTCGACGGCTTCGGCAATGCTGGTATGGCCCAGATGCCTATGGGCGACTACAACAGCGCCAGCCTACCCATGAACCCTTATGAGCCCAAGTATGAGGATATGGGCGGCAATAGTCCTGATTCGCTCCCTCACTCCCACCATTCCCATCACTCAAACGGTTCACCATCAGGCTCTCAAATGGGCAATGAGATGTCTCAGAACTTTGTTAGCTCCCCTGGTGCCGTCATGTCCCCAGGCATGGACTACACCCCCAACATCGGTGGTTTCAACATTTCTGATATGGTCATGAGCCCCCTCGGTGGTCCAGCCCCGCCAAACGGCATCAATATGCAGCGGCAACAGCAGCTAAACAACCAACCTCAGATGCAGGGAATGCCCAATCAGGGCATCAACGCCCCGCCAATGAACCAGAATATGGGCTCGCTATACAGTGGTGTACGACAACCATCACGCCAGAGTAGCTTCAACATGCAAAGTCAGCCTCTGTCGGCAATGGGATCAATGCCTGATGGAATGGATTTTAATACATTACCACCGCGGTAACGGCCCGGCCCAACTGCAGAGCTTGATAATGCTTGGCTGACCTACCGGGCTGGTACCGATTTTGGGGCATTCCTTCTTCTTCTTCTTATTCGCCTTTTATTATTTTCATAATCCTCAGGGAACTGAACCAATTTCGATTGCATGGCTGGTGTACTGGTGTTTTTGTATTATATCATGGCCGCTGGAAGCACAAGGGACGAGACCTTAGTAGATCCTTAGGCTGCTTATTTTTGTATCCTAAGACTTGGAGGTCAATCTTTCTGCTACCCATCAGTATGGCTATTTGAGGAGTTTTGGGTCTGGAAGAAGGTCTGGGGTTTTCTTTTGTCATTTATGTTATGCCAATTAAGAGTAAAATCGGAGTCTTGTGGCATAGGTTACGATCTGTATCAAGCGGGACCCTTGTATGGCTAAAAAAAAAGGAAATGTATTTCGATGAAATTACAATAGATACGGAATAAAACTTTACTCAATATTTTGACCCTTGCACCTTGAAAAACACCCAATTGTGCAGATTTCAGCAGACGAGCATCTTGACACTGCTGCACATTCAAATTTAGAGCTGTGATGTATGTATTTATATAACAAATGCTAATGGGTATTCTGTCTGGTATCTCGTTTTCAGTCGTTAAATCTTGTAGTCAAACGCCAATGTTAAAAACAAAACCCATCATAACTTCGTAATCCAATCTTTATATCTTTCTCTTCCACAAGATATCTTCAGTGCTTTGCGGTCACAGACCGAATGGCAAGCACCTGGATCCTCTCAGCGTATAAATTCATTAAGTGACAAACGGGATCTCCCCAGATGACTTCCCTCAAGTCTTCTTCGCTGCAAGTTACCGCAACAACGCCCTCTTCGAGTCGCTCTTTGACGGTCTTGCGGTCCTTGGGTTTGGCATGGGGATTTCCCGAGCGCAGCACGACGATCCGGCCGGCGTTGCTGAGCGTGCAGGCGGGAACTTTCCACCTTGGTTTCTTCGTGCGCGAAGAAGAGCGCGAGCGCTGCTTGGATTTGGTGTCCTTGTGGTGTGAGGAGGACGAGGGTGGCGGCGAGGAAAGCAAGTCGAGAAGGCTTTTAACGTAGGCTTTGTCGGCGCGGACGACAGGGTCACCCTCGTTTACAAAGCTGAGGAAGACGCTCTTTCTAAGAGACGGCGCGTCGGGTTTGGAGAGCGGGAGGAGAGATACTGGTGGTGCACCGAAGGTTATGCAGTGGACTCTTTTAAAGTGCTCTGTAAGAACGTTGAGTTCGGATTTCGCCTCACTCGTTTGGGCGACCATGTGCGAGTACAGCAGTGAAGCAATGGCACCACCAGCAGAGTGCCCTGTAATCAGGAGACTATACGAAGATCTCGACGGATCTTCCTGTAGAAGCTGTCTCAGCCGCGCAGCGACAGGCTTGACCATCTTCTTGGCCACATTCAGGAAACCCGCATGGCACAAGTTACCCGGATCATCGAGGAACTTGACAGGGCTGATGGGTACAGACTTGAAATTGACGGCCCAGTCCATGAAGCTCGCTGTGCCCCGGATAGCAAAGACGATGGTGCCGCGATTGTCTACCGACACAGATTTGATGCAGGTTTGCCTAGGACCTGCGAGCCAGTCGGATGAGACGTGGGCGTCACGTTCGGAGCCGGAGGGCTTTTCGTAGACACGTTGGGAGTACTGGGCAGCAAGACAAAGGAGAGGCCATGTAGGCATATGCCTGGACACGTTAGAGGAAGTCTAGGAGGTACAATGGTGACATGGTATGATACGTACAGAGCGAGCGTGTGTAGATCCATAGGGAGTTTAGAGTTTGCATATTGCTCAACTTTAGAAAAGTAATTGCCCGAAACTACTGATGCAGCAACATTGCAAGACTGCTTATCCTTGTGCTTCTTCTTGCTAACACCCTTGTCATTGACATGCTGATCCTGAACCGGAGCGCAGTTGAAGAGCTTGCTCTCATTACCGCAGAGCTTCTCATGATCAATCAGCGTCATGATATCATTGAACCGATCATACATGGCATTTGTCGACTGTACAATCTGGGTGCAGCCGTGCCAAGCAGACAATCCATCGTCGTAGAGTTGTGGCGCCGCTTCTTTGGCCATGTTGGCCATTGACCCTGTGAAGCGGTTCAATGATGAAGAGAAGTTTGGCTGCGAATGCATTGACGAGAGATTATGACTCGGCGGCACCAGAGCTTGAGATTGATGGTTGATGGTATGGTACTGAGGAGGATTAACAGGCGCGAGGTTTTGCGACGGCTGATGCGAGATGTGGTAGTGGTGGTTTACCACGACTGGCTGCTGGTAACCGTTCCAACTTGGCGGCGCATCGAGGTAACCCGCTGGCTGAAAATGCGGCTGAGATTGTGCTGCATGTTGGTTGCTGTATAGAGTCGTAGGTGGTTGAACAGGATACTGTTGCGATGGTTTTGGTCTTGGCGCCGACGGAAGGGTAGGACGAGCACCGGACTGATTGCCTGAAACAGGAGCAGGAAGAGCTGGACGATAAAGGTTTGGAGGGTCCGTTATCGAGGGTTTGTGTATTGAGGGGTTTGTGGTCTTTGTCTTTGAAGTCGACTTTTTTGACCTTTTCTTCTTTGAAGAAGATGACGACGAAGCGAACCACCAACCCATGATGATATATGAGGTGGAGGAGGGTGAAGGGAGTAAGGATGTTTACATCTCAGGCAGGAAAGCGCCGTAGTCACACAAGGTAAGATAAGAATAGAGATAGAGAGAGAAAGGTGTGTGTGTGTACGCGCTCTATGGGGACGATTAAAAACAATAAACAAAAAGGTGGAAAAGCAGACGGCGAGAATCATGAATAGTCTCACACATGACCCGACCTGACCGAGGCATGGCAGTGGAGGAAGATATTCTTAGCAGCTGCTGTGATTCAGTGTTTTCCTAGCGGGGGGTATTTCTCAGCCCGGTCGATCTTTCCCCTGTCGAACTGCAGAGAGCATTAATCTTGGAGCAGTATTCTTAGATCAGTGGTTGAGACCTGCAGCACTTATTTTGTCTCCAAGATAAGAAAGCCCTTAGTGAACCTAACTAAACAAGCGAATGCATGGGTGGCGCAAAAAGACCCCTGTAATAGAGCTTTTTGGCATTATCATTCGTTGACAACACACCAATCATGGCCACGTCGCTCTGACAAGGCATGAGAATGACTCTGAACCTGCCAGACATTGGATGACTCTGCAGTTGAATGCAGCTTCTATTTGATGCCGTTAACAAGGGGGTTGATGAACGGGCGGCAATAGTACCTGTAGCCCCAATGTTCTAACCCTATGGCTGGGTGAGTCAATGACTTTGTCTCAGGCGATTTTAAAGACTCGATCGAATTATGTTTCAGCCTTTAAGACATCGTCTTTGTATGACGCGCGATTCAATATAGTTCACACCTTTACAATTTAAAGGTGTGTTAGCGTGAGTTTGGGATGCTCGGATCTAAGAATCACGACGAGGTCACCAATGAGGGTTCGGTTCGTATCAAAAAACCCTTCATGTATGTACGTACTTACTGCACGACTGTTTTGCAAATGTGGGTTCAAGACGAGTGGGGGATGAACACTTTTGATGCATTCATGAGACTCAGTTAAACTCTGCCGATGCAGACAACTGTAAGGACACCTCGATCGTCGACCAATTGTGTGCTTGACGTTGCCAACGAACATGCCAGCAAACTTGCCAACGAACACTCCCGGAGCTGCTTTAGCACCAAGATGCGAGGTCGAATGAGTCACATCGTTTCAGAGTGCTTCACCGCAATAAAGCAATGGTGTAATGGGTCCTAAAACCCTTCTTGTAAGTGAGAAGCAGGTGTTTTGGACGTGCCTCGTGCTTCTTAGAATCTCAATGTGTGGTCTTGACATTGCGTTATGGAGCTCGAAAGCATGAATCTTCAACTGCAAGACGATCATCAGCGTCCACAGAAGCCACCGATATCGCTGCCATGACTCCTTCTCCCTTTCGCTATGCATCATGCGACTGTGGTCCTTTTGGCGTTTGATCGATATCAAACTGAACCTCGTACAGCGTTCGACCTAACCCTTCAGTCACCACTATCCTGATCGCCAGGTGAGTATTCATCACTGGATCATTCGCAATGTTATGAATTTGGTCTTCTTCCCAACCATCTTCACAGGAGCTCGGGAATAGGGCCTTGTGTTCAGAGTCCTGTGAGATACACAGGTGCTGCCAGTTCGATGAACACAGCCGGCGCCGCTGACCGTCCAGTTGAACTTGTATTTCGGATGGGTGGAGAGTGGCACTCCCATGGTACATCTCAAGTGACCTCATGTCGTCTGTTGAAGTGCGAGCATACTCAGTAAAGGCGAGCATGTTGAAGGCCCGGCACCACGGGCTCCAAGGTGTGTAGCCTCTGCCGTCTGCATTTACCTGGCGATGCATGCCCCATATTATTACCACATGTCCGACAGTGGCATCCTTATCCTGAGATTGATCGCTATTGGAGAGACTATCTATCAAGAAGCTGACAAAGTGAATGCCACCAAAGTGTCGATCAACTCCTGCATGCTGACACTTCACAAAGACCCATGGAGAAGGGATCTGGGTTGCACGGGTATCGTACCTACTCAAGGGAGGGTGACCACCAAAATTGTTCATAGCGTAGCTGAAATTGCGCTTCCTATCCGAAGTATATCGCAGCCTCATCATCTTAGAAACAAGGTACACTGGCCCAGTCTTTGAGCCCAGGTCATACGAAGGATTCATGCTCACAACGTTGCTGGGGCTTTGATGGCGCAGAACACTGACATTCTTCTGGGTAGCCTGGTTGAGATACCGCCTGGCCTTCAGTACAGGAGGACATCTCAGAACATCCCCGTCCGCGGATGCGCTCGACCAGGCCTGGTCGACTGATATCTCAAGACTACTGTAAACCTGCCTGGGGTCAACAGGAACAACAAATCTATGATATACGCGTCGATACAATTTGATAGTACCTAGGTGTTCAAGCAGCAGTGCCGGTCGAACGAGGTAGTCATCATCGTAAGCAAGATCTAGTATACCTAAAGAGAGCTTCCGGTCGAACCATTCGTTTGTTTCTGGATCGTAAATGCTCACGGTACAAGGGCAGATCCACAAATCCATTTGTATAGCAGTATCAGTCAACTCTATCGGAGTAATAGAGCCCATAAAGCCGACTTCAAAGGCCCTGCTCGTCCTCTTGAAGACTCGACGACCAAGAATATGAATAGGTTCGCTGAAGACGGAAGGTGAAGGTGCTAGGCATCCGAAAACATGACCGAACGGCGCGTGGTCGAAGCCGCCGCGCCACAGGAGAATGGACTGATCCTTCGACTGCCGGACTATGGCTTCTTGGAGTCGCAAGAAGGCCTTATTTCCTTCCCCATAAAGCATGGGCATGTTTAAGTTGAACAGGCCAAGAAGGCAATAAGCGGAGTCTTCCTTGCGCGTTGTGATACGCGATGAAGCCCAACTCATCTTGAGAGACACTGCAAATGAGTCAAGAGTTTGGGGAAGTGTATCAAGTGCTGTGCAACGTACACAGACACCATCGCGGACCGCATGATAAGGTTCGAGACAGTAGCATCGAGGCTCGTCAAATAGCTGAGGCCAGATACCTGTTTTATGGCAAAGACGGCCGAGAAGCTCGTCATCCCTGGAGCCAAAGTTGATCCAATCTTTATCGAAAAAAGTGACACGGCGCGGAGCAATCAACTCCTGTAATGTCCATCCTCTTGTGAACCAGCGGCTAGAGAAGAATGAAGTATCCGCTGATCGGAGACGAACGACTCTCCCGGCAGATGTTCTGGCAGAGTCATACGAGAGGATGGTACTGAAATCACTCAAGAAGACGTACCATAGAGAAGCCTGCTGATACCATTTGAACATGGAGTTGATGGCCTCAGATAATTCTGCGCTGCTGGTCTTGTCGATGCAACATGTGTCGATCCAGACATAGCCATAACCATTCCTTCGAGCCTGTGCACAACATTCTTGAACCTTGTAGAAAGCTTCACGGCATTGGAGGCTCTCGAGTGGCTGCTGCGTTATATCTTGAAATATAATTTCATCGTCCCCCCATGTGTGCGACAGGATGACATAGTGAGGGATATCGGATTCAGCACCGTTGAAGCTCTCAAGCCGAATAGTATGAGCGTTGAGTAGTCGCATGTTTGTGATGGTTTACCGGTTCTGATTCTGATGCAAGAATGGGACAAAAACGAGGGGGACTTTGTATTGAAGCCGAGCCCTTCAGGTTATCAGGTCAGGCTTTCAGGAAGGCGTTTTGCATGCAGCCCTACGGCTGGAGACTATGTATTGGTAGGGTGACATTGTCCAAAGTAATCGCTTCGGCTGGTAAACCAAAGAAAGTCCACAGCAGCTTCATTTCAACAGATAATGTGACGAACCCTCGGGTGTTTGGGATTTTATTCATGTAAAGGCAAAGACGAATGGTAAGGCGAGAGAAACAACTAGGTACTGCTTCTTGTTCGAAAAAAGATGGAAGGAAGGATCGATCATGCGCGGGAGCGGGCCTTCCCCAAATAATCTACGCATCTTGGCAGGCAGGACCCTTAAATGCGATCGCATTCGTTAGCGGGTCCATCATTCTACATGTTCTTATTCTCACCAACAATACATCAGATGGATACAATCGGTATGACGGACATAGGTACATAATGGAGTAGAAGCTATTATTCCACAGCCTTAGAATCTATATAAACCCGCCTATGCTTCCCTTTTGTTTTTTTTTCTGTCGCACAAACCGTTTCTGCTTTCCAATCTTCAAATCATGTCGCAAACAACAACCATGGCGTCTAAGACACTCGCGCAACCTGATGAACTGGATATCCATGCCAGAGATCACAAACCACCACATCCTCAAGACGAAGCCAGCAAAACAGTAGGGAACCCGACCCTCATCCCAAACGATACCAATGATCCACCTACCAATTCCTGTGAACCCGAGCCCACGGAACACAGATCCAAGAAGAGCCTGGTGCAGATCGCAACAGTGATGACTTCTCTCTGTGCTTGCGTCTTCCTCGCTGCCCTTGAAGTGACAATCGTCTCAACTGCCCTTCCAACTATCGCTGCCCACTTCGCTTCTGATTCAGGCTATACCTGGATCGGCACATCTTTCGTCCTTGCGCACACTGCCTCAACACCATCGTGGGGGAAAATCTCCGACATTTGGGGAAGAAAACCCATTCTACTCGTTGCCAACGTCATTTTCTTTGCCGGCAGTCTTTTATGCGCTCTTGTAGATGATCTGGCAACATTCGTTACTGGGCGAGCTATTCAAGGTGTGGGCGCTGCAGGTATGCAGACTCTGGTGAATATATGTATCAGCGATATGTTTTCGCAAAGAGATCGAGGCTTATACTATGGCTTGACATCAATTGTGTGGGCAGTCGCAAGTGGTATTGGTCCCATTCTAGGAGGTGCCTTTACCGATCGATTGAGGTGAGTAGATCTCTTCAAAAGAACGGGCTTTATTTATTGACGGCCACCAGCTGGAGATGGTGTTTCTGGATCAACTGTGAGTTCTTCACACAAAGCTTTCATACGTTTAACTGACACCTCTAGTGCCCATCACTGTCGCCGTCTTTGTTCTACTTGTTCTCACTCTCAAACTCCCGTCCCCAAACACTCCCGTGTGGGCAGGCATTAAAGCTATCGATTGGCCAGGCAGCTTCCTCATCGTTGGAGGCACTCTGATGTTGCTTCTGGGGCTCTACTTAGGTGGAGTCTACGAACCCTGGAACTCGGCTACAGTGATCTGTCTTATTGTCTTTGGAATCATCACTGCATTATTGTTCGTCTGGAACGAGTGGAAGTTGGCACAGTATCCCGTGATACCAGTTCATCTCTTCAATACTTGGTCATCGTCAGCTGCATATGCTGTCACATTCTTCCATGCTTTTGTGTTTATGGGCGTTGCTTATTACTTCCCCTTATACTTCCAAGCCGTTCTCTTGGCAAGCCCACTTCGCTCGGGACTCTATCTTCTCCCGTTCATTCTCTCCATCTCCATATCCGCTGCTATTACTGGTGTGTACATACAGTTCAGCGGCAAGTATCTTCTAGTCTCGCGTGCTGGGCTAGTCATGATGACTTTGGGAATGGGACTCATGATGAATTTGAGCATGGATTTGAATTGGACAAAAATGATCACCTTCCAGTTATTAACTGGTATAGGTGTTGGCATGAATTTTGAAGGTCCCTTGCTATCTGTTCAGGCGGTGGTGCCGCACGAGGATGTGGCAGCTGCAACAACCTCAATGGGATTTACCAGAACTATTGCAACAGCCATATCCGTCGTCATTGGTGGTGTTCTCTTTCAGAATGAGATGAAAGGAGAGAACAAAGTACTTATGAGCGCACTGGGCCTTGAGCTCGCCGAGATATTTGATGGGGCATCTGCGTCTGCTAATATTGACCTGATCAAAACACTCCCTACTGAAGCACAGCTTCTTGTGAGGGCCGCATTCTTCCACTCTCTTGATAAGATGTGGATATTGGTGAGTTGTACTAGGTTATATTCTTCCACTTCTTTTCTGACAGCCAATAGTATACTGTATTCTCGAGTGGTGGGTTGTTACTCAGTTTCTTCATGAAGGCGCAATACCTGAGCAAAGACCACAACGATGCACATTTGGGCATCGTTAATAATTGTGAAGTAGGAGATTCAGCAGGAGGTACTGCAATTTCGACAGAAACCAACGGGACTCACGAACTGAGATGCATCTCTGTGAAGACCAGAGGTGCTTACCCAAACTGATATGTCGAAGATAGTTATTCAAGATATCATAAGAAAGTTTGAAACACAGTTTAAGATAGTAGGCCACTGTGTTTAAGAGAGCTTAAGAGAGCAGGCCGCTATAATTTTATGCTTAAGGACATATAATCTTTTAATTATCTATACTTTTTTATATAGATATTTACTATTTTTTATTGCAGATATATAATTCATAAGAGGTTTACCACTGTAATGTTTAATACTTAACACAGTATATCGAAAGTATTCGCACCCACCCGTCGGTATCCTGACTTTATTCTTTAGCGACTTAGGTACTTACCGTCTATAACCAAAACCGTTATCAGTACTACAGTCCCAGGCTCTATAGCATTAGAAAAAGCAATAGCTGGGACTTTGCAAGGGTCAGCGTTTTCACCTTTAACCACAGCCATTGTAATGAATGGCCCCTCTTCCACGAGTCCCTTGGCCGCGGGGAATACTTCCATACTGACAGTCTCTCAGATACAACCATCACGCATGAAATGGACGACAGCCCAACTGTTCCTTTACTCCAGGACTATCAGAGAAGTCCTGTACCCAGCGAGCAGTCGCTGCCCCAAGACATCATCGATAACGAAGCTGGAAAAAGAACGTTGGTCAAAATTGACCGTACCATTATTCCTCTTTTGTTCATAACATACATGTTCAATTTCATGGACAAGGTCATATTGTCTAGTGCAGCGGTATTCGGGTTAAGAGAAGACACTGTATGTTTATCCTCCCAATATTTGTACGTTGGTACTGAAACTATCTGAGCATCTCCAAGGCCAACAGTACAGCTGGGTAGGAAGCGTTTTCTACCTAGGCTATCTACTTTGGACTTATCCAACCACCATTCTTGTTGCAAGCCTCCCCATTGGAAAGTATCTTACGGTCAATACGATTTTCTGGGGCTTGGTTGTCGCTTTCACTGCATCGTGTCAGAACTTTGGCGGTCTCTTGCTCATGCGGTTCTTTCTTGGCATTGCCGAAGCGACGATAACACCAGGCTTCATGTTCCTTACTTCATCATGGTATACACGCGATGAGATGCCGACCCGTGTGGGAATATGGTTCTCAGGCAATTCTGCCGGGGGGCTAGTCGCGAGTTTGCTCGCTTTCGGAGTTGGCCATATTGACAGCACGACAATACGACCTTGGAGATGGATGTACGCGATGTTAGGGAGCATGACCTTTCTATGGTCTGTACCCTTGTTCTTCCTCCTTCCTGACAACATATCAAAAGCCACCTTTCTCTCGCCGGAAGAGCGGAAGATTGCAGCGCAGCGCGTGTCCACTTCTGGTACTGGTAAAACCGAGGGTGCGCGCTGGAGATGGGACCAAGTGCACGAGTGCTTGATCGATCCCAAATCCTGGTTTATCATTGGAATTGAACTGTTTACTCAGATTCCAAACGGTGGCTCTCAAAGCTTTGCCAACATCGTCGTGGCATCTTTTGGGTTCACTAACCTGCAGTCTACATTAATCAACATACCGTACTCGCTTCTTTCAGCTGGTATAATTGCAGTAAGTGGCTATTTGGCTGGTCGCTTCCGCACCCTGAATTGTCTCCTAATTATTGCGGTAATTCTACCTTGTGTTATCGGCAGTGCCCTCATTTACAAACGGAGCCATATACCCCAAAGCCTGCATCTATTTGCGTACTTTCTCCTTTCAACCGGATCTGCAGCAATGCCTCTCAATATGGCCCTTGTGCAGTCCAACTATAGAGGAGTCACCAAGAAGATGACTATAACAGCCATGTTATTTGTCACGTACTGCCTAGGAAACATGGCTGGACCACATTTCTTTCTAAAGTCCGAGGATCCGCTATACGAAACTGCGTTTAAAACAATCACGGTTTGCTACAGTTTGGCGATTCTTTGCGCTTTGAGTCTGAGAGTTTATCTTAAACGGTTAAATGCAAGTCGTACACAAGAAGAGGGTGTTGTGGGAAGTGCTGGTTCGGGGGGGATTACGAGGGAGGGTGCTGGAGAAGAGAGTAGCGATCTAATAATGAAGTCAGGAGATTATACGGACTGGCAGGCTGTGGGATTCAGGTATAGACTGTAAACTCGGACTTGGTTTCATCACAATGCGAGGTGATGGCGGCCTAGGATGTCTGCATGAGCCTAACAAGGTACTTTGGTGGTCATCGGGTTCGGCTGTGGCCACTTCACGCGGTAGATTTCTAGGCAGCAGAGACCTTTAATTTGATGGTTTTACACAATTTCTAAAGTCTAATACCGACTTTTTCCCTTGCTCTGAGCTTTAAGTTCAAAAATGTAGAGCTCAAGAAATAACCTTATTCTCACACAATACAAAAGCACTGCTAAGCAGCCCACTTCTTCTTCCTCTAGCACAACCTACGAAACACGATCGACGCAAAGACCTTTAAAGAACAGATTTAAAGACGCCGATTTCTTCAATTGAACGTCGCATGATATACATGATAATTAAGAAGACCAGTCAATTAAATTCCAACATCAGTTCGTGAAGCTGGTTGAAAAGGTCACGTGCTCTGTGGCCGAACGTTTCGCCGAGTCCGCTAAGTGGCCCCAAGATTTGGAAGCACCAAAGCACCCACTTTGAACTTTTGACACTAAGGCGAGTCCAGCTCTCTTCTCCTGGACCATCTTTGTCAACTTTTTTTTATTTAAAAATCATCAATCTCTGATCGCACAGCATTCCAAAATGTCGTGGAGAAACCAGGGAATCACCGGTTCGAACAACATCCCCCTGGGAAAGCGACGCTTCGGGGATGAGGAGGAGGAGGAGACGTTCAACGGTGGCGACGCCGCTGTTGATCGCGACTTGAAGCGAGGACGCGACCCTGAGCCTCGCAGCGAAGCTGATGGACCTCGACGACGAAAGAAGCGAAACAGATGGGGTGATGCATCCGAGAACAAAGCAGCTGGTCTCATGGGCTTGCCCACTGCTATCTTGTCAAACATGACAAGTGAACAGCTTGAGGCCTACACGCTGCATTTGCGAATCGAGGAAATCTCCCAGAAGCTACGCATCGACGACGTCGTCCCAGCTGATGGCGATCGGTAAGTACTCAAATCTTGTTTTCATCTCTTCACTGCTAATCCAGGGTAGATCACCTTCTCCCGCGCCTCAGTACGACAACCACGGCCGACGTATCAACACACGAGAATACCGATACCGCAAGCGACTCGAAGATGAACGACACAAGCTCATTGAGAAGGCCATGAAGACCATCCCTAACTACCACCCGCCTCAGGATTACCGCAGACCTACAAAAACCCAGGAGAAGGTCTACGTTCCTGTCAACGATTACCCGGAGATTAACTTCAGTATGATTGCTAACCCTTTAACCCTACTTACCAATATTCTGTCCTTGTTTTTTGTTTTCCTTTTGGAGTTTGATCAGACTCATCAACACACACACACACACACTGTGTTGTGAGATCTGGTCCTTCATCGAATGGACAAACCCCTTGCACGTCCGTCTAATCTTTACCAATCAGATACTAACAATAGCTCTCTCGTACTAAAGTTGGTTTACTTATCGGCCCTCGTGGTAACACTCTGAAGAAAATGGAGGGAGACTCAGGTGCCAAGATCGCTATTCGTGGCAAAGGCTCCGTCAAGGAGGGCAAGGGCCGGTCCGACGCCGCGCATGCCAGCAACCAGGAAGAAGATCTGCATTGTCTCATCATGGCCGATACTGAAGACAAGGTCAACAAGGCCAAGAAGCTCATTCACAACGTCATCGAGACTGTAGGTGTATTCCCACTCTTTGCAGGGCTTTTACTAACAAATTTAGGCTGCATCTATTCCTGAAGGTCAGAACGAACTCAAGCGCAACCAGCTCCGTGAGCTCGCCGCCCTCAACGGTACCCTCCGAGACGACGAGAACCAGGCTTGCCAGAACTGTGGCAAGATCGGCCACCGCAAGTACGACTGCCCTGAGAAGCAGAACTACACTGCCAGTATCATCTGTCGCGTCTGTGGTAACGCCGGCCACATGGCTCGTGATTGTCCCGACCGCCAACGTGGTGCCAGCTGGCGCAACACCGATGGTGCAGCCCGCCCTGCTGGTCGTATCGATAGCGGAGATGCCGTTGATCGTGAATACGAGGTAAGCAATCTCCCACACATATATTGTAATTAAACAATGCTAACAAAGTGCAGCAACTCATGCAAGAGCTTGGTGGAGGATCTTCTGGACCCCCTGCGCGTATCGAGGCCGGCCCTGGCGCTCAGGACAACGGCAGCGCGAAGCCCTGGGAACGTGGCCCTACCGGCGGACCTGCACCATGGCGTAGCCGTAACCAAGATTCTAACGAAGGAGGATCAGCAGCTCCCTGGGCCCGAGACCGTGGTGGTCGCAGCCAGGAGAATGCCGCTGGCAATGGCGGTGACAGTTACTATGGCCAAGCATATGGCGGTGCTTCAGGCGGTGCTGCTCCATGGCAGCAACAAGCTCCTGGAACTCAGGCTGGGTATGGCGCGTATCCTGGGTACGGTGCCTATGGTGCTGCTCCTGGAATGGCCGCTCCGCCTGGTCTTGGGGCTCCTGGTGGTGCCCCTCCACCTCCTCCTGGTGCTCCTCCTGGACTGGGCGACATTAATGCCTTCATCCAGCAGTATGCTGGTGCAGCACCTCCCCCACCGCCGCCCTCTGGCGACGCCCCGCCACCACCTCCCAGTGATCAGCCTCCTCCACCTCCACCTCCCGGTGCCTAAACGAGGCAAGACCAGGATATCCAAGGTTGGAAGCTTCTGACAATAGTAAATTCTCGGCTAGGGGCTAAAGATTGTTTGTCAAACCGGATATTAGGAAAGGGAATAAGCGATCGTTTCTAATGTGGCAGCGACTAACCAGTACAAGCCAAGCTTGTATTTCACTGCTCAGTATCATGAGTTTTGATGATCGAACCGTGTGTTGCAGCTAGTTATAGTTCATTTCGAAGCATAGGACTAATCGCGTAGGCAAAGTGTATTTGATAATTCAGTCGATTTGTTTATATGGTCTTTTATCTCTTGTGATTTGCTCTAGTGAAATAGATGACATGCTGATCGTAACGTACCTAGAATACCCAGTTTATGCACGTCGATAATTGATGCAACTCATGCATGCTTATAGGCCCCCGCATTGCAGTATTGGCGTCATTGTACGTACCTTAGGAATTCCCGGAACAGGACAAGGAGCTTGGGCCATGTGACAATAACTTACTGAGGAAACGACGCAATCGACAGGAGTTGCCTCTTTCTCGTCGAGTCCTACAAACTCCATCTTACTCGATATTTTAATTTGGTTCAACCAAGAAAGGCTCTTGCGACGCGTTGTGGAAGTCGCGCTCGTGAAATTCTTAAAGTACCTGTACCTTCTTCTTTTGCTTCCCATCCGTTGACAAGCGTCATCTGATCTAGTCTAGTTAGATCCTTGTTCCATCTGCCTGACTCTCCCTCATTGTCTTATCTTTCAACCTCTTTACTTTTCTCCGAAGTACTTTGTCTGTTCCCATCGCTTCGCGTTAACTTGAATCCTGATAATGACCCTTCAACTATAATTCTTATTCGCGCCACCTAGACTCTCTTCTCTTCACTTCGCGACGCACAGGCGCGTCGAGTATACGGCATTACCTCAGCGACAATTCCAAGCAATTTCCATCGCAATGAGGGCTAAGAATCCCCTTGCCTTTCGGCCAGGGCCTGTAACTTTTTGGACTACTGTCATATACATCGCCCTTCTTATACCTCTTATATGGGTTCACGAGACTGTCCCTCCGGCTCCGGCCGATCGCTCATTATATCAAGGCCTCAACCTCACCGAGGCGTGGCTAGATTTGCAGGCCATTAGTCGCACTTATCATCCCTACAACAGTCACGAGAATGACCGAGTGCGCGAGTTTCTCATCGACCGCGCAAAGGAAATTCTGGACCGAAACGACGTTTCTTATACGACCGAGACTATTGGTGGTGTTGACTGGTATTCGAGGTCAGTGCCGAGATTGCGCGACAACGGACACTTGCTAATACCCAGTAGAGCCTCTTCTCTTGGAAATCTAAACTCCTTTGATAGCCCCAAAGAGACAGTGCAGGCCAAGCCTCGTGGGGCCACTCTCTTTGACGACAGAATCTCCAATATCTCTTGGACTTACAACACCGCCAGGCGCATGGGCTCTAACATCTCCAAAGGAACCTGGTTGGCACAATACTTTGAAGGAAATAACTACTATGTCTACATCCACGGCACGGACGACCCCGAAGGTGAATGGTGGCGTGACGAATCCAAGTATAAGAAATTCCACGGCCAAGGAGGTGTGCTCGTCAACTGCCATTTTGACTCGTAGGTGGTTCTCATCCATGATATACTTCGATGACTAACAGTTGCAGCGTTTCCACTGGATACGGTGCTACCGATGATGGAATGTCCTGTGTCTCGATGCTCCAGCTTCTGAGCTACTTCACACTCAAAGGACGTCAACCCAAGAATGGCATCGTTCTGCTTTTCAACAACGCCGAAGAGGATGGTCTTCTTGGCGCCAGAGCTTTCGGCTATAGTCCCTTGTTGCATTTCACTCATACATTCGTCAATCTCGAAGGTGCCGGCGCCGGAGGCCGAGCCCTGCTTTTCCGCACTACTGATTTGCAGGCTGCCAAGGCGTATTCCAAGAGCCCCCATCCGCTCGGATCCGTTGTGGCTGCCAATGCTTTCGAACGAGGCGTTATCAAGAGTGCCACCGATTACGAGATCTTTGCAGACATCTTTGGACAGCGTGGACTTGACATTGCTTTTTATGCACCTCGTGCTCGCTACCATACTAATCAAGATGATGCCCGACATACATCTGTTAACAGTATCTGGCACATGCTCTCAGCCGCCCTTGCTTCGACTGAGCATTTGTCCAAAACGACCGGAACCATCTTTAACGGTGATCGATCAGATGGCAACTCTGATCTCGTTCAGAATGGTAAACAGGCCGAGGGTGTCTGGTTTGATATCTTTGGCGCTGCATGGGCCGTGTTCGCACTTAGGGGACTCTTTGCATGGTCGTTGACACTCCTCGTCGCCACCCCTCTAGTTCTCATGGCCTTCACGTATATCCTAGTTCGCAAGGACAAGTACTACTTCTTCGCTCGGGACATAAAGATGCACCACGACATTAACGATGATCCGGTCACGTTGGGTGGTTGGAAGGGCTTCTTCCGTTTCCCCTTTGCGCTTGCTTTTGCTGGAGGATTGACTATTGCGGCTACACTTTTGGTTGCTAAGTTCAATCCACTGATCATCTACAGTAGCGGTTATGCTGTGTAAGTAGCCTTGACTTATGACCGATCGCAAACTAACATGTCCCAGGTGGTCCATGACTTTGTCTATCTTTTACTTCTCTTTCTGGCTTATCATGCGAGGATCCGCCTTTGTCCGCCCAAGTGCCCTCCACCGAGGCTTCGTGCTAATTTGGCTTTTTGCTCTTGGATGGGGTGTACAAGTTGTCTGTGCTGTGGCAGAAGACCGCATGCACATTGGTGCCCTTTATGCGACCGTGTTCTTCCAGTCGGCTATTTTCCTGGCTTTACTGATTTCTCTATTGGAGCAGTTTGCGCTGCTTGGCAAGCACGACTTTGCCCTACAGCTGCACGATGCGCATCAAGCGCGCGATGTCTCGAGCCGCGGAACTGAACAGGAATCCAGACCACAAACGGACAACGAACCTGCCCAAGCTGAGGCCGAAGAGGGTGAGGGCGAAAACGAAGATGCTACCGAGACAACGCCACTTAGAGCTGGCGAATCTGGCTACGGTTCCAACGCCCAAACATCATTCGCAAACACGTATCGCCGTTCGGTTGCCGACACTTCGCCTGCCCCGCCTAGTATGCGACGATACCAACCTTTCGAGCACGAGCAGAGCTGGTCTGGACGCCTTCCCTCCTGGACTTGGATTCTTCAATTCCTATTCCTGGCCCCGATCCCTGTGATTATGTTTGGTAATCTTGGATTAGTTGTGATGACTGCCACGCAGATGACGGGTACAGATGGAGGTAGTCTTCTTGTCCCTGTCCTATCTCTGGGCATTCTAAGCATCTTTTTGTTGCTACCACTCACACCTTTCATGCACCGAGTCACCCATCATGTGCCCATGTTCCTGTTTTTTGTCTTCGTTGGCACCTTGATCTACAACTTGGTGGCGTTCCCATTCTCTGATAACAATCGCTTCAAGTTTTACTTCCAGCAGGTGATTGATCTCGATAACGGCACCGACACTGTCTCTATTGTTGGAATTGAGGATTATGCGCGCGCCGTTATCAACTCGCTGCCGAGTACAACAGGTCAGGACATTAAGTGCCAGCCAGCTGTTGGACGGGATCTAACGGACTGCCAATACGACTCTTCCTCTCTGACTCCCAACTTGTATAAGGACAAGTCACCCAAGCAGCTAGTCTCGATCGAGACGGTTCACGGCAGCGATGAATCGAAAGCACGAATTCGAATCGACGCGGTAGATTCTAGACTTTGCTACGTTCGCACATCTCGACCCGTTTACGGATTTGCTGTTGATGGCGCGAGTGCGCGAGATCCTCGTTTTGGAAAATTTCCTTCGGAGGGTTTCAGTAGCGTTCAACTCTGGCGACGTGATCGCGATCGACCCTGGACCTTGAATCTCTACTTGAATGAGCGTAATGCATTGGCCGTGGCAGAATCAGAGCGAGAAGAAAGCGAGGTGCTGGGAGACGAGGAACTGAAGGCTAGAGAGGTAGAGCAAGCGGCAGATCGTCTTGAAGTCACAGTCAGCTGTGCCTGGAGCGATGCCAACACCCCTGGCACGATTCCTGCTCTTGATGAACTTCTTAAGTACATGCCTACTTGGGCAGCAGTCACCAAGAAGAACGTGGGACTTGTAGAAGTTCGCAAGACTCACAAAGTTTAATTAACGGACGGAAGGATATCACGAACACGACATGCATGACGGGAACCTGAAAGACTTGGCAATGTATCGCTAGAGTGGTTAATGATTGTGAAAGGCCCTAAAGCATGGTGACAGCCATTGATAGGGTGTTTGGGATTGATTTGTAGCATTGGTTTCGTTTGGCCTACTGTTTAACTGTTGAGTACCTGAGTGCCGTAAAGAATATGATTGTCAAATATCGTCAAAACGTCAATACTGAGACCCAACTCACACTCGCTACAATATAACGTCAGGTGCCAAACGCAAAAATATAATCCACAACTCGGAGAAATGAAAATTATCGAGCGTCCATCAGTGAATAGGTAACTACCCAAGCTGCTCCAATTGATTGCTTATGTGTGATGCTTCGACAATGCCAAAACCATTATCACAAGCTACCGGGTAGCTCGGGCCCTCCAAAATACGCAATCGCATCCACCCATACTTTTGTCTCTCTCACTAAACCCTCAATTCAAGGACCTCACATACATTGGCCAAACACCATGGTCCCTCAAATATGGCTGCCATCAGAACGCTCCAAAGGAGCCGAACAGAGGGCCCTCATTTACTATATCTGTGGAAATCCAGGGCTTATCGAGTACTATACCGACTTCCTTAGCAACCTACGAGGTCTGCTGGATAAGATGGAGAAAAACACTGCGTACGACATATACGGTACCAATTTACTCGGATTCAGTGACGACGATCATGAGCCATTCAATTCAAATAACAAACCTTGGGGTCTTGATGGACAGGTCGAAGGCATGTACGGCAAAATCGCGGCAAGGGGAGAGGGTTACAACTTTGTGATACTCATGGGCCATTCTGTTGGGTCATATATCGCGGTTGAGATATTCCATCGACACATGAATAACCCAGAAAGAGCGCCGCATCTCAAGCTACGACATGGATTCCTCCTGTTCCCTACGCTGACGCACCTCGCTCGTTCGTCCAACGGCGTGCAGTTTGTATTGCTGCATCGCATTATTCCCTTTCTCGACACCGTCGCATCGCTACTCGCGCGGCTACTCCTCGGTTTAATGAGCGTAGCCAGAGTGACGTGGATCGTGCAACGTCTTTTGGGCTTCACTCATGCAAGCGCAGACGTCACAGCGCGATGGCTTAAGAGCAGAGATGGTGTGTTGCAGGCAGTTCATCTGGGGCTGACAGAGCTGGAGATGATCTGCGAGGAGAAATGGAGTGATGAGCTTTGGGCTACAGCTGGAGAGGAGAATGGAGTGCCGAGGTTCTTTTTGTTTTATGCAAAGAAGGATCATTGGGTTCATGATGCGGAGAGAAATGGCATTATGGAGAAGAGAGGGCATATGTCAAGGATCACGGTTGATGAAGGGGATATTCCACATGCGTTCTGCACGAGACAAGGTACGTGAAATACACCGAGGTGATCTGATATTTGCTAACGGATTTAGATGCGAGTCTGGAGGTTGCAAGGAGAGTATGTGAGTGGGTTCAGGAAATCGATGGACACAGAAACGAATAAGAAGAAGGATTCTCTTGCTCAAGGCGTATCTTTCAAGCCTCGCCACAACGTTTCAGAGCAGAGAGAATGATCAATAATTAGACGTGGACTGTGGGCACTGGCACCGTGATTGCATATACGAAGCTGGCGATGAATTCAAGACACATGGACACCACTTAAGCATAACACGCCGTCTTCTATTGGATCTCGATAGGAAAACTAACTTTTCAGCCACAAGAATACTTTGGCTTTCGATACCCTGGTCTATTTTCAGCGTCACATCGGTTGTCGGTTCCCCCGCACTGCGCCAAAATGAAAGATCGAGAGGGACAGGGACGCGTAAGGGTTATGGCCTCTTGGCGGGCCAACAGAGGACCTTTCGGGATGCGGTCCAGAAACGGAGCGGCTCTCAATGCAGACAAACAGACGTCGACCACTGGAGGCGAGGCTAGCCATTTGGAGAAGGAAATGTGGGTGTGAAGACGTTGGAGGTGGCGGCCAGTAACCGCTCAGTGATTGGGTTACTCGGTCAATGACAGTTCAGTACGATCGAAGTGTGTCATCACGATCTGCAATCAGGTACTGTCTATTGTTTATTCGTGATATTGTTAAACAGTCAGGCACTCAATTGCAAGAAACAAGAGACAGGCGAGGTAATTGTCACTGGTATATTCGCTTATATTCATTGTGGTCGAAGACCATTACTATTAACCCGTGAATCGAATCCTGATAGCGTTTCCAATTCTCATACACATAATCAATATCGTCCTTTCAATTTAAAAAAAAAACAATGCCTCTTACCCCGTTCGTCTCACCAGATGTACATTGACTGTCCAGTTTGACTACTTGAGGAATCAGGTTTTCATAACTGACAAGCTGGTTCCTAAACTCCTTTACAGAGCAAGGGCAGCGAAAGCAGCCATGGCGATGGCACCGAGACCAGTGAGGCCAGCAGCGCCGTTGGCCTGCTCAGGGCCCTTGGTAGGGGTGGCAGCAGCGGGAGTGCTGGCAACGGGCTCCTCAGCAGCGGTGGTAGGAACAATAGGAGCGACAGTGGTGGTGGGCTTCTCCTCGGCGGCGGCGGTGGTAGTCTCAACGACCTCAACGCTGGTGCTGACAACGACCATGGTGGTGGTAGGCTTCTCCTCAGCAGTGGTAGGCTTCTCCTCGGCAGCGGTGGACTTGTCCTCAGACTCCTTGGGAGGGTTCTTGCAGAGACCCTCGGTAGCGGGGAGAACCTCGTCTTGAGGTTATAGGTTAGTATATGATGTAGACTATAAGATACAGAAGGGGACTCACTGATGGCAACGTCGGTACCACACTCGTCAATGACACAAGAGGTAGCGACAGATCGGACAGCGCTGAAGTCCTTGCAGACACAGGCGAGGTCGGTCTTGTCACAGTCGGTCTCGCTGGCGATAGCCTTGTCGAGGCAAGGAATGGCGCACTTGGGAACGTCGGCAAGAGACTGAGCCTGAGCGGCAACAGCGGCGAGAGCAACGAAAGCGACGGAGTACTTCATTTTGAATGTGTTGTTTATGTTTTTTGTTTAAAAAGGCGAGATACAACGAGTGTAAGAGGCAGTGTAAGAGCGAATGGATGAGGAGGAAGGTAAGAGACTCGAGAAGATGGATGAAGAAGAGGCTTTATGTAGTTTATAGATTCTAGTCAACAACAAGTCGAATCAGGTACAACAGGGGTGTATGTCTGTGCGGGTTTGGTAGCCGTTGGTCGATTTCCATGGAAGAGACAGAGAGAGGAACCAGCCTCTTCTCTTAGCTGCAGCTACAACTGCATGTACTGCTTTGGACATCCATCATGTTCTTGATTCTGAAGCTATTGCCATCCATGTAAACTAACCAAGTGTGGGTGGAGTATAGAAAAGTGGACAGGTCAGGCCAGTCCCCCAGGGTATCAGGTTAGTGGCATGCGACGAGCCGGGCCAGACTAGCTCGGAGAAGACTCTCAACCAATAGGAGATAAGAAGTGCAGCAGGGAAGCCCAGTATAAAGAGGGGGTGGCTATTAACAAAAGGCCCAAGTGCATGCAAATGATTGTACAGCAACTACGTACGTTTCTGGCCTGTCTATTCCTTTCAAGTAAAGAGGCCAACGGGGTCGATTACCGAATTCGATACACACATCCGAGTAGATCGACGAGGGGGACTCGGATGAGGAGGGAAAAGTCTGGGGGATGCGGAGAGAGCGAAGTTGAAGCAAGCACAGGCCTGTACAGACACAGAGACTACTCTACAGCAACAGCTCGGCATATCCAGTTGATTCAAGAATGCAGAAATTGAGAGAGGCGATTCTTTAATGACTCGGATTGATTCTTTCAGAAGCCCACTTGAAAATCCCCTAGATCAGGTACAGAGGGTTCACTAACGAAAGGGGCTGCTGCTAGATGTCAAAGCTAAATGGATACTTGGTTTTACTAGACGCAGCTACCGCATCAGAAGTCACCGTGTCCAATCCATTTAACTGAAACCACTTAACTTAGCAATGAGCACAGATGTTCTAGAGACAATCACTGGATTATAGGTCCGATCGATGGGGTTTATCCGATACCTGTTTCCACCTGATGCCCAGTCGAAGCTTGACCCATCAGTATCCGAAGGTCAGAGCACACATAGGATGGTCCACTTCGGGATATTGAATATTGGTTCCCTCTTGTTAGCTGAAGATATCGATTAATAGTTATGGATCTCTAAAAGAAACGTGACTCGATTGCGATGGACTATCTACTTGGTTACTGAAAAACAAGATTTGGTGTACGGATACTCTCCGGGACTTGTCCTGGATTGGGTCACATGCTGACAGGCAAGGTTCTATTAATCCCATGGGCTTTTTTTTTAAAAAAAAAATTTTAGAGCCCCGAGGGCCGATGGACGGAACGCAATGGACCAGTGCCAGTGTCAAGTTGGTGAGTTGAATGGAAAAACAGGTTCTATAAAGTTTAATGAGGGAGTTACAGCATACCAACCACTACAACTAGAAAATGGAATGGTACGTCGAAAATGCAGGAACAGAACAGACACAAAGGTTGCTAGTTTTTGATTCGATGCAGAATATTGAGATCGGCTTGAGAAGTCGGATGGTGAATAGGCTTGACTCCAAAGGGTAGAGTCTCAAAGCTTGGATGCTGTCATGGATGCAGCATTACTCGGAACATTTGACTTTTCTTCTCTATTCATTTCATGTGTTATTATGATCTGAACTGCAAAGAGAACTTCTTCCTCATCTCACTGTAAAACTTACCTACTTTTGGTAATGGCGCCAACCTCCCCCCGCATCTTCTCTGTCTGTACGCCTCCACCATCAGAAACAAATAACCCCGGTAGAGACACCCACAACGGGAATAAAAGACCCTGTCACTTGTCAGGGATCGAGACTGACTGCCTTCCTACCATGGACAAATGCATTATTACCTACTCAACCGCCGCTTGTTCTCGACCGCCACGCCGAGGACTCACATGGAAAAAAGAGTAAGGGAGAGGAGCCCACATGTCCTGCGGCACTGTTTATTGCTTGCTTTTCTCTGATCTGAGCTTAGCTTGACCAACATAACTGTTGCTAGGGGATCTCCCCAGGAGGAGTTGAAATCGACTGATGAGATGGGGGAGAGGACAAGGGGTCTTCCATCGCATCGCCTATCCGCCGTTGCCGACTTGGCAAACGTTACTAGCGAAACAGGGTTCCTGTTCTCTTTTTTGCTTCTGTTCAACAACAAAGAACCCATCTCAAGATGTGACATTTTTGGTGTTTTGCAATAAATATGTATAAGCTGAGATGCAATGCATGGCATAACCTTTACGAGAACACGATCCATCTTAACATTAATGCAAGTGCATTTCCTTATGTATAGGTGCTCAATTATATACCACACACAATATGCAACCATGAAAGAGGTTGGTGACGAAAAGACACACATTCCTCCGAGATGAGGCTTTATTGCAAGGTACGGAATGTACTTGTCTGGCACAGCAGAGCAGTAGGGTAGGTAAGGACCAACGTTTTTCGTCATGTCAAATTTTAGCTGCCAGGTCTAGGATTAAAATAGCCTCAAAGGCTGAAGAGAACAAAAAGGCTAGGTTCAATGCAACCATCTCAGCTCGGGTTTGCATACAGGGTCAATTTGCGTTGCCACACACTTTTAAACTCGCGGCACTACCGACTATAGAAAAGGGAAAGTTGGGCAATGTTAATTATTAGACCGAGGGTGAGAGATGAAGCATATGATGGGATCTACATTCAGCTGCCCCTAGAGTCAAAGCAAGACAGTGCTGTAATCTCCGATACTGAAGTGCCGTACAGAAGACTCTGAATCCTACCGGCAACGACAAAGTCCCATGTTTCCTTGATCCTCCAGCTTTCCTACACATCCAATCCTGAAATTACCACCAATCATTACAGTTCACCATCCCACATTCTGTTCCAAAGGGAACCCCTGTCTCTTGGCGCTTGACCGTTGACAACAACGTCATTGCAACCGTTCCAAGAATTGTTTTGCGACAGAAACTTCAACGTCTTTTTCTCTTAACCAAGATCACCGATAGATCTCTAGTGTGACGTACGTCTAGATTGACCGTGCCAGTCTTGTGTGCCCCTGTTCGAGAAGGGTCTATGAAACATGGTGTGACGCAGATGTTAAGCAAGATTTCTGGCTAAGATCTTGGCTGGTTGTACTGGAGATATTAGATGTTGGATACAGGTATTTCCGGGCGTTGATGTAATGCTATGTGGTGAATGAGTCGGCCTTTGGAGGTTGGCATACATCAGCCAAGGCTGTTCAACGAGACGTCGACCTATCTTGTGGTTGATGGAAGCCAGAACGGGAATATACCTCATAGTGATGGCACGCAGTCAATCAGTAACACGTGCTACTGGGAACTATGTCCCATTGAATCCTTATTTCGACTTGTATCATAGTCTTGATCGACTACCCGGGTGTCGCAGCGACTGTCCGGGATCCACCCCGAGTCTGAGACCCAAAATGCCCGGTTACGGCGCCGAACCATCGGCCTTTGCAACCAGTTAGATCGGGAGTTTATCTTGGCTTGTCGTATCGATAACTTGAGCTTATCAAGAGATATAAACTTATTGCAGTCTCTCAACAACCGCTACAGTCTCACATATACCTTTCCTAAACAGGAACTTCCGCAACTAACCAATATCCCTCACCAAGAAAGTAAAATTTCTCTTCTGGTTTCTTCTATCATGCAAATATCTCGTATTGAAAGGGCTTTAAATGTTTTGTAATCCAAAAGATGTCAAAACTTGACTAAGTAGTTGAGGCTCTCTCGCTTGGACCTTCTCACTCTTCCCCAAACATCCCCGACTTCTCGGTCAAATCCACTTTATTCAGAGACTATGAACCAACCGTAGAGCTCGGAGTTCTCCAGAGCCTCCAAGAATGGCTTGGCAAGTAACCGTGGGGAGTAACTCCGCATCATGACGGAATCATTCGACAGTTTGGAGAAATATCTAGTTCATGTGAATGTTCTTCATCGATCGTTTATAAAGTGAAGAGTATCCCGCTTGTAATATTGTTCATCATATCCAAGCGGTTCATCATCCAAATACAACCAAAATGAGCGGAAAGACATTCAACGTGGGCATCGTGGGATATGGGTAAGTTCACCTCATAATCATGACATCTCACCACTTCAGTTAGCTGACTCAAATAGCATGTCCGCGAAAATCTTCCACATCCCTTTCCTCACTCAGACTCCTCAGTTTAAGCTGCATGCCATCGTCCAGCGATCTCCCAAGGAGGGCAACTCAGCACCTGCTGACTACCCCGATATCAAGCACTACACAGACTACAAGCAACTCTTCGCCGACTCCGATGTCGACCTGATCATCATCAGCACTCCCCCCAACAACCACTTTGAACTCACAAAGGCTGCTCTCGAGTCCGGAAAGCATGTCTTAACTGAGAAGCCTTTCGTGCCCACCTCTGCTGAGGCTGACAAGCTCATCGAGATTGCCAAGCAGAACGGCAAGCTCCTCATTGTTTACCAGAACCGACGATGGGACTCTGACTTTGTCACCCTCAAGAAGCTCATCTCTGAGGGTACACTGGGCCGTATCTTCCAATTTGATAACCACTTTGACCGCTACCGAATGGTCCCCTCCAAGAACTGGAAGTTGGATTTGCCTATTTCTCAGGGAGGCAGCGCCCTTTTTGATTTGGGAACCCATCTCATTGATCAGGCTTATATCCTATTCGGCAAGCCTCAGGCTGTCCACGGTCGTCTCCTATCCCAGCGCAGCGGCAAGTTCGACTTTGAGAACCCCGACGGTGTCTCAGCTGAACTGACCTACCCTGATGGTCTCATCGTCAACATCCGCATCAGCGTCCTTAGTGCTGAGCTTGAGCAGCCTCGCTTCTGGGTCCGTGGTACAAAGGGCAGCTTCCGCAAGCTGGGCCTTGACACGCAAGAAGATGCGCTCAAGGCTGGCACAAAGGCTACCGATGAGGGTTTCGGAAAGGAGGACCCCACACGATACAAACTGATTGTTGTTGACGAGAACGAGAAGGCCAAGGAGCAACCTCTCTCCTCAATTGAGGTTCCTACTTACAAGGCCTTCTATTCCCAGCTCGCCAAGGCCATTGAGACTGGAAAGGAAGAGGATGTACCTGTCAAGGCTAGCGAGGCCCGAGATGTTTTGCAGATCATTGAGGGTGTTTTCGAAAGTGCTAAGACTGGCAAGGACGTTACTTTTGCTTGAAGCCTTTAGGGCACTTAAGATATAATGAATTTAATGAACAATAAAAAGTAAAGTGTACGCTGTGCACCTTCCATTATCCTGTCGTTACGGAGCATATATTCCGCACCGTGACCTGTTGTGCTTTCCTCCCAAATATTACTTTGTGACGTCCTATCAACATCGTTGAAGAAAGGAGACCAGGACAAAGACCAACTTCCAATACTTTATCCCCGTGTTTTTGAGTCTTCTCTATCTGCAAACCCATCGTTACCCAGAGGTTCTTATTATTAAAAGCAACATTACATACACATCAATCATTTACTTCTCCATATACCGCCTGTCTCGCCCACGATGACGAGAAGCCGTACGAGACTTCCCCGGTACCTATCGAGGCGGTTCGTCCCCAAAGACACCTCTGAGTCGCCTTTGCCAACTGCTCTTCGACGAGTTCCCCCACCTACCCGGGCTCCATGCCACAGGCGTAGCTTCTCTGATTTGGACGATCTTGAGCAAGGGAGCTACACTCTGCAGCCATTCCAGAGAGAGTGGTGTCTCCAGAAAACCAACTGGATCAGGCCCAGATGGCTCAGGCTTTTCATCCAACTTTGTCTACCCCAAAATGATGACAGCGAACACTATCGAATTGAGGGGAAATTCGCCGACCCAGACGGTTCCAAGTACATCGATTAGAAACTTGGGCGCACTAGGAATTGTCGAAGTTTTGTCTTTCGCTTTGTCTTTCGCTTTGTCGTGGTGTTTGTTTGCTCTATGATCATATCGTTCATTATGGCTCGAGTGACTCCGGGTGCAATCGAACCTACAGGCCAAATATCGGGGGGAATGCCTTTACGCAGGTCTCCGCCAGACGGTATTGCCTCTGGTTTGAGGGGAGCATATGAAGACGGGAGGATCGCCCCCGGACCTACGGACGCCAAGACTCGTTCCAGGTTTCTTCCTTTCTTCTTTGAAATCTGTATTATCGGTTCAGCTTTTTCAATGGCTCAGGGCCTCATCACGTCTGGAACCCTCCCCATCGTAACGTCGAAAATGAAGCTAAAACTTCTCAGTTTGCGAGGAGCACGAGTCGGAATGGAACGTGTAGGGCATACAGCCACTACAATAGCAACAGCACTTCTCAAAAGCACGCAAATCGTTGATCCTCAGAAAGCCAAAGACCCGATGATTGGTCAATCAGAATATGTAAATCACCAGAAGTTATTGCAGCGCCGCGTTTTGTGAGTTCTCTTGTCAGTCAGCTTAAAGTCCTGGTGATTAACAATCTTTAGCAAATGCCTCGCACTATTAACGGCATATCCAGTCTGCCTACTGCACCAGGGACTAGACAACAAACGTTGCGTAGATATTGACAGACGCTGTGAAGAGGCTGCACTTCGGCTCACAGAAATACACCCTATCACACCACAGGATTTGTCGCAGTCTTCGTCACAACTGAGCGAAACATCTCAATCTCCGATGGAAAAGAATGTTGATATCGAGCGAACCCGTTTCTTTGAGATGTTCTCATTAGAAATGGAAATGGAGTTCCGTACTTCGTGCACAAAGAACGACTCCCCGTCTTTGGCTGCTCAACGGGCCATTACCAAGATTCGCATGACTCTCGAAAATTTGGTTGATGAAGGCCAATTGGATAGTTTTAGATCCCCCATCATCCGTGAGTGATCACCCCCTTGGCGGAGATCATGATTCTCACTACAGCAGGTGAGAACATCGATGTCATGGCTATATCAGGTCGCGAGTGCCTGGTATATTCTTACACCGATGCAGTACCCCGTGCTTTCCTATGGGTATTGAAAATTATTGCAAAAGTGATGTTGCTTGCAGTCCCTTTATTCATCAACGTTGACTGGAAGAGCTTGGCAGTGTCGAAGAGGCTCTATTTATGTCTTCTAATTGGTGCTGTCGGTGCTTCTGGGCTGACGATACTCGACGAGATTGATTGTATGTGGAAGGCTTTCAAGAAAGGGATGAATACATACGCATGGTCACTTGGTATCGCTCGAGAGATCGACGAACTATTGAACGAACCAAACGACATTATACGAATGCATTGGTACAATGGAGTGCCGAACAGTAGTATACGAGAGCACAGCTACAATATTGGTTATGATGAGGTTCATCGTCAGGTTGGCCGAATGGAGTCACCTTATAATGAGTGTTCTCCTCAAGTTAGCCAAATGAACTCGCCGTATGAAGAGGTTTCAACAATGCTTTCATTCGGAAAGGCCAAGCCTGCAGACTTCTAGATAGCAAGTAATAGAAGAGTTAACCCCCGAGCCTTGATATGTGGGAATGAACCACATGAGAGTCCAGTCAGAACAGCATAAACTAAGTCACGAACTCTCTTGAACAGCAAGAGACTAACGTTTCTCATGCCCTGCAGGTAGAGAAAATACACTCGATAAGATGTAGTTCAAGCCATATGACCAAATGAATCTAAATGGCATTGAAGACGTTGTCCTGTGTCGCAACTGACCGAGGGACCGTTTTTGGGTTTGGATCAAAGTGAGATTGTCAATATCATGACTTCACCATCGTACAAAAACATTGGGCGCGAAATCATTTAGATTGACCATAGTACTAGAGTAGGTATCCTAAAGAGCAAACCGTGCAACCCTTCCAATTCAAGTATAGCAAGTAAGAAAAAGATGAGCCTCAGACTCATCGTCTATTCAACCGAGATATATCCCCCTCGCAATGCATTTCCTCAAGAACATGCTTCAAAATGAATAAATAAAGTAAAAATCAACAACTCCAATACGTGGTATATATAAATATATGTATATTCTTCCCGTATGTGCAAAACCTTTTCTTCTTTTCTTGTTTTTAGGGTTTAAATGGCTAGGATGAATCCTGCAGCGGCTGCGATAGCGACGAAGGCGCTGCTGGCCATCTTCGTCGCAGAACTCTCAATATGAATCTGGTCGCCGATGAACTGAGGGTCGTAGACGCCGGGATCACTACTATCGATGGTACCATTCCAGCAGTAGTTTGTGAAGCACTCCTGGCACTTGTCGGGCACGGTAGTGTTTGTGCGGTCGAAACTGCGAGAGAGCATGGCGCAGCCAACACAGACGGGCCAGTTCTCGTCGCGGGTGCCGTTCAGCATGGTGGCGACAGCGTAACCGTTTTCGATGATGGCGGAGAGCTCGGAGGAGTTGATGCTCATTTGGAAGGTGGAGATATTGGAGGAGTAGACGTATGGGTAGTTGGGAATATAGACGATGAGAGGAGTAGGCTCGGTCATGTTGGTGGCGTTGCAACCGAAGAAGGTTGGGCGGGTGTTGAGGCCCAAGTTGAGGAATGTGTTCTTGTCGGGGACAGGAGGGAATGATGAGCCCCTTGCGATGTCGGTAAGAGAGCGCTCGTAGGTAGCGATGGGAGATGCACCGTCGGGCCAACTGAATTCGGTGTCGGCCGAGGAGTCGAAAGAGAAGACAACGTCAACCTCACGGTCCTTTCGGAGGTGAGGGTAGTAAGGGATGTTCTGAAGATCCTCACCACCGTCGACAAGAGTGAGGCGCTCAGATTCGGCACTCAGATTCTCCTCAGGGTTCCAGCCATAGAAGGGGTTAGGGGTCCAGTCAGCGATATCGTTGTTCTCATTGCCAATAGCGTTGAAGACAGCAGATACAGCCTCGAGGGCAATGTTGGGAACACCATCGGGGACGTAGTTGCTGTCGTCCTCGTTCAGGTACAGAACAATCTGGTTAAAAAGACTGCTAGATGTTCCCATGACGAAACCGGCATTGTCGAAGCCAGCAATGCAGGACTTGTCCTTGGGTAGCTTTCCCTTGTCGAACTCGGAACCGACGTACTTGAGGGGAACAAAGCCCTCAAGAACGGGGTCGTAAGAGCCAAGTTCCCAAGGAGTAAACTCAAAGTTGGTCGCGTTGAGCGAGATGATCTTCTCGTTGGGCGCGCGACCGTCAGCGACAATGAGAGGCATAGGGGCTTTGCCCTCAGAGAAGTCGGGATCGTCGGCGATGGATGACCATGTGTAGGAAGGGCCACCATCTGTGGCGTTGATGAGCTGATATGACAGCATGCGGCCCCAGTAATCGGTAAGAGATCGTTCGTAGCCGGCATCCTTCTTATCTGATACGGCGTCGAAGATTGTGTTGTAGTATTGAACCAGCGAATATCGCTCAGGGCCCTCCAGAATCGAGTTCTCCAGCTGCCAAAGACCAGGATATTGCACGCTATCTTGCACAGAAGTGAAGTTGTTCATCATCAAACTACCGACGAGCCATCCACCTCCGGAAAGACCTGAGAGATATGTCGCACTCTGCAAAAGACCACCGAGGTTTCCATTCTTGTCGCTGCCGTCGGAGCGAATATCCCAAGCCGCCAGCGCACCAGCACCACACAACATGGCACGATAACCACCGCCAGAGACGGCGAGACCAATATTTGGCAGAGCCGTAGCGTTGGTCTCCACATCCTTAAGGTATTCTTCGCTATTGAAACCAGGGATCGCAATTCGTTTCAAAAGATCTCGGATAGGGGAGATGGTCTCGTTTCGGCGCTTGGGAATCCAGTCGCGCTCCATGCTCGAGATGGAAGAGCCATTTCGAATGGTCGGGCGCGTGCTCGGGCAATCGACTTCGGCGGGAACATAACCATCGGGGGCTTGGGGAGTGCCTCGTTTTGACACAGATTGGGGAGTGAAATCTGAGTTGGAGATGGCGACAAAGGCGTCATCAACTGCGATTAGGTTGCGATTAGCCTCGATCCAGGACCCGTAAATTTGGTAAGAAATGCGACCACAGCACAACAACCTCGATGCGCCTCAAAATGCAATCATGGAATGTGCGAGCGCGCGCGATCGCATAAAGTGTCGACTTACTGGATGGTCTGGCAGCAACGGGCTGCAGGGCGGCGCTGGCAGCCAGCAAAAGGGCGAGGCCCGAAGTGATGGCCATACTAATTAAGGCCTCGGGCAAGATAAAAAAGAGCGATGAGAAGACGGTAAGCTAAGAAGAGTTTGTAAAGGCGCCAGAAGGAACGAAGTGGATAAGTCGAATTGGAATTGTCGTCGATAAATTGGCTCGATAATGGTTATGCGATCAACGAAGATGTTGCGAAATAAGACAAGGTTGGTGTTTCAAAGTTGAATGCGTCCAAGTGGCAAAGGGGAAATAAAAAGAAATGCGATATAGTACGAAACGAAAAGAATGAGAGGAATCCCTTTCAAAGAAGAATGAAACGAAAAATAAAGGGAATAATAAAATGAAACCCAAGAAGCACGCGAGGGTTGCTTGTAAGAGGGAAGGATTCGATGTGGGGTGAGAGTTTGATTGGAAACGGTTTCTTGTGGTTTTTTGATCCGTGCTTTGCTTTACTTTTGACACTTGTTAGTTCGAGACGAGTACATATATGTCAAAACAATTGATGAGCGAAGCAAGTGACTGTATAAATAACAAGTAATTCCTTTCTCTCCATTCCTATTTCTAGTGTCATCAGCCGCCGAACGCACCATTTTCTTACAGGCGCCCAAAGTCCCTCTCTTACTTTGCTGCCAAGCCTTGCCCAGCCCTGCGCCGCCTCTCTGAGGTGTACCGGTCTGATGCAATGGTACAGGCTGTGTGACTTTTGTGCTTTAACTTAGAGTTACACTGCAGATGCTTATAGTTGCAGATAAGCTCAGTTGAATCTTTTGAACTGCAATTGAACGTTGATGCTCGTACGTTATCGTCTTGTAACATGACCTTTTACTGTCCAACTATAGCTTTTGTTAGTCCACAAGTGACAGGTAGAGTCCGCTACGGGGGCCCCCAGAATAGAATAAACCCCCTGCACCCGAACCAGCCACTCACAAGGTTCCAACCCGTTCCAGGTACACCCGCCATTCCACCCTAGGGGATCATGGATGCCCGTTGAGCTGAGCTGAGCCTCGGGATGGAATGACCTCACCTCAGCCAGGGATCTCCTATTCTGGATATTTCGCTGCGAGATCGTCAAAGGCTGAGAATTAAGATCCGCGGAACATAAAACGCCAAACGACATTTTCATGAAGATCAAGCACTGACCATTAAAGTCTCGGGACCAAATCCTCTAGCTGTCTTTCGTAGAACGATCACCCCTGCCCAGAGAAATTAAAGGGAATGCCCCAAGCTCAAATTTCCAAAGCCAAGACGGCTTGGCGGCTCTTGTGACGTCTTGTTGTCATGCAATTCACACCCAGAGATTCATCCAAAGGGCGCTTAGATACATATTGTACAAGTTGTACAACACATCTCTGTCGACCAGTGTTGTCTATCGAGTAAGACAAATGCCATCAAAATTCTCATCATGTCAGCTTCTAAAAACCAACTGTGGATAAAAAGTACAAGCCTCGTATCACGCTGTGGATTATCCTCCACTGCACTGCCATCTGTCAGCAGGCATGCATCCATCGTGGATCACCATTTACCACCAAGAGGAGCAATCTCTCGTGTTGAGTGGTCCAGGAACGCTTACCACATCACAATTTTAGCTTGAACCCTTGTCCGCGGACAATTCCATGCCCTTTTCTCGGCCGATGCGGAGAACTAGAGCGATCCATTCCTCCTTTACAAGCTTATTGCAGCTATTATGCTTTAGTTGGTTACCATGACCTAAAGGTTAGGAGAGTTGACTGCTGAAAGCATAATGTCAGAAGTCTTTTTATGCTGTTTAGACTAAACTCTTAGGTTTGGTGTTTATTTAGGTTTTAAAGCTGGCGATTTTTCTGTTACCCGCTAGCATGTTCAGCCCTAGAACATCCGTATATGTCATCTTATATCCTTTGATAAATCATGGGTATCAAATATTGCATTACATAGTCTAGATCTGCATGCATCGTCACCAACATATCTCATAGCTGGCTTAATCGGCAGACTCATCGCCTGCAGGCTCTCGTCCAAAAGTACTGTTAAACTTAAGGAGGCCAGTCAACCCACCGACCCAAGGGTCATCATCTTCGGTCCTGATCATGCATGGCACACCGCCATGCCACTCTTCGCCAGGCCCAGCACGTCCAATAAATTCACCTTCCACCCGGATCTCGGTCCCCGGAGAGACTCCGGCGCATCGTTTGCCATCAATGCTGAGATCAAGCTCGCGGCCACGATTCTTCCGGCTCATCCGTAAGGTGACCTTTGTGTCCAGTGGAAGTACTAGAGATCGAAAACTGAGACTACAAGGGCTGATGGACGTGATAAGAATGGACTTGACCAGTGGATGAACAATAGGGCCACCCGCACTTAGACTGTACGCTGTCGAG